GCTACCGGCCGATTCGACCCTAGACTTCGCCGAGTCAGGGTCGGGTTGCTCCCCCCCTATACCAGGACGCGCCTGGACAGGGGGAGCCACCCCCTGCTCGAGGGCGGAGCTCAGTGTGAGAACACCCCCAGCAGTGACCTCACCCCTCGGCTCAGGGCCGGGGGTAGAAAACCTGGATGGCTTACCTCTCTTACCGGAAGATGAGGACGAATCCCTCTTCCGGCGAGAAGTTCGCCGACTGGGTAGGGGAACCTTTACAGCGGACCCGGCGTGCAAACAAAGTTCGCACGGCGAGGCCTCGCTGCAAGGCCGGCATAAGGGACAGGCATCATGGGGGTCCTGCTCTCCGTAGAAGTGAGAACACCCATGTGCTGAACCACGACGCATCCCTGAATCCATAATTGTTACGAAATAAATAATCAAATAACAACAGTTATTAATACAAATAAACATAACAAAAATAAATGGAGTGAAAAAACACAACTCCAACAAACAAATATGAACGAAAGCAAAAGCTAACGAAACGTAAAAAAGCAAAGCAAAATATACGGTCGAATAAATAATACGACCGATAAAAAGCGAAAAAACTTCACGAAATAACCGAACAGCGCAAAACACGTAGATACGCGCTCGGTGCGTGGAGTATAGCAAAATGGCCGAACAAAGGCCGAATAAAGGCCGGCCGATAAAGGCCTAAAAGCAGGATATATTAACTAAATAAACGTCTGCAAAAGACTGTTATAGTTAAGGATGGGTTTAAAGCAATAAACCGATATATAAATACTCGGTTATAAGCTAGACTTAAGCTAAAAGGAAAAGGAAGGCACTCAGCAGAATATAGCACGTCCGCCCACTCCGGTAGCCATAAAGATAAGAGGAAGGGAAATAACTCTATGTTCATGACGTGAAGGCTCATGGTCGTAGGGAGGGCGGGATTTTTGAATCTTTTGTTTTTGGGATACAAAGATGGGTGTAGGTACCATATTTGCATACTAAAGTTATGGTAATTATTACTGAAATGAAAATATATATTTGATATAAGGAAACAGTTTTATTAGATGTTAGAAAAACAAAACTGACATTTTTAATGACATGCTTTAATAAGACAATGAAACAGGTACGTCAGGCCAGGATCACCAAAATGACTTTACAAGTTGGTTACCATAGTCATTGTTTACACTTTATGTTAATATAAATACTACTACAATTGTGTAGTGATTAACACTGCACCACTAAGTGGAGAAGAGTTTTATGTTGGAGACAACATTACTCTAGCGGTACAGATGGTAGACAGGAACAATTTGGCTGACACGGACAACACATGGTAAACAGTAAGAATATATCTGACTTAGACAACACATTGTAAACAGGGAAGAATTCATTAAAAGTGTCATTCACCTCTGTCTATGTGCTAATAATGAATAGAGTCATCAACATGACAATATGTCCCCCCCCCCCCGCCCCCCCAACCAGGTCCACTTAGGTGCATAAAGTGACCATCATACAGTTATACAATCTAAAAAAGAAGGTTAATCAGCTACATAAGAATTATATTGTAAAATTTCAGTTTTTTTATTCAAAACAGTTTGTATAAAATACCATTCAACCTATGTAATATGTCCAAGACAACCTTTAATATTACCAGCATTCATCACATGATGTACATACTCCAAACATAATACGTGATACATTTCCCTGTATATCATTATAAGTGAATACATACAAAAACAGAAATAAATCACTTGAAATAACAATGATTAAAAAATATTGTTAAACATGTGGTAATTAATGCAGGTTGAGGGTTGTAATTGTTACCATAACAGGGCTATTTAGTCAAGCAACATGTTTTTCTATTCAGCTGGAAATGAAAATATGTGTGCAGACTAACAAATCTGTACATAATAGTTTTCTCCTACGTAGCCAATATCCAGTGTGGTCAGTTTAAAATCTGGGGAAGCCTAAGCGAAAAATAATGATAATACAAATATAGTGCAAAACGCTGCGCCCTCTGGCGGGAAGAAGACTGTTTGTAAACAATTGCACGCTATATGGAGGCATCAAGTGATGAAACGGTGAGTCTGATTCCATGTTTACTCCTTTCGTAAGGAAATCATGAAAGAAATTGCATGGTAAACCTTTGTGGACCATATAAAAGTTACTAAAATCCACGGTGAATTCTTATTTGATGGTTTAAATCTGCTAAACACCGTCTGACATATAATAAATATCACCTGCGATGATGACTTATCACTTACCAACAGTTTAGGAGGGTCTTCACAACTTCTTCATTACTTTGGAAAAAGTTTTCTTTCTTGAACTTGTCCCAACTCTCGTACTGCTCTCCTATTGTTATTCGAGGGTGAGCTTTCTGCCACTGGCCTTTTCTACGTTTTGTGTTTGATCATGTGACCCGTTTGCCACAAACATGCTTCGGCTGGGAAGCCATTTTTTGTTAAGTTTTTTCAGATGCGTTTGCGCATGCTCACAGGTCAAAGTGTGCATTGGCGGCTTGCTCATTTGCATTTTATTGTGTCTGTACAGACGATTAGGATTTCCCATATGATTAATAAAAAAACCGATGGAAAACATGCGCTTGTATCAATATGTCGGTGAGGATAGTTCATAAGGATTATAGATCTACATTTTTACAGATGAATTTGTAACTAGAAAAAAAAATAAACTTGACTAAATAGCCCCTTTAAGTTAAACATAATGATGAAATTACTTTTTTTTCTAAATCTGAATAATTTTGGAATGTAAATGGGCCTTAAAAAAGAAACAGCCTTTATCTGTTTATAGGGTGTAAGTAAATACATAAGCGTTCATATCCTTGTTTGTATACAATCTTAAATGCAATACATGTAAAATACTTAAGTATCAAGGAAATTACTTGAAAATAAAAAAAATATAAATGTTTATTGAAAGACTTATACATATCAAAATATTTTAAGAAAACACATTAAAACATGAAAAACATCCTCATATAATAAAGAAATCCAACTAATTATTAGATAAGTTAACTAGATAGGGTCATTGACATTACACTATGCAAAGGTCACCATTATGTGTCCTTATTTCATTATTTTTTTGTGAGATAATTACATTCATGTCATTGGATGTTGTAGTGAAAGTAATTTGCCAGTAAAATGTACAAGTGGATAACCTATCAGTGAGGTCATTCTAATGTGGTGACCTTTGTTTCAACAATTCATTCTGTACAAGTTTATCAGACTAAAAGGACCTCTGTGTGAGGTCAAATTACAACAAAATAGTCACATTCTTATTATCTTTATGTGAGGTCACATTACAAAGACTTGTGTGAGGTAGACTACAGTGGACTTCAGGTGAAGTCACTTACAATGGCCTTTGTGTGAGGTCGACATAATTGGTGACCTTTGTGTCAGATTGCATCAATGTGACCTTTCTGTGTTGTCACATTATGATGTTCTATCTGTCAGAACATATTATGATGACCTGTCTGTCATGACACATTTTGGTGGCCTTTTGATCTGGACACAATATGATGACCTCATGATCAGGACACAATATGGTGACCTATCTGTCTGGACACATTATGATGACTTATCTGTAAGGACACAATATGATGACTTTTTGGTCAGGACAAAATATGATGACCTATCTGTCTGGACACATTATGATGACTTATCTGTAAGGACACAATATGATGACCTTTTGGTCAGGACACAATATGGTGACCTATCTGTCTGGACACATTATGATGACCTATCTGTCAGGACACAATATGATGACCTATCTGTCAGGACACATTGTGATGACCTATCTGTCAGGACACATTATGGTGACCTTTCTGTCAGGACACAATATGATGACCTTTTGATCAGGACACAATACGATGACCAATCTGTCAGGATACATTTTGGTGACCTATCTGTCAGGATACATTATGGTGACCTATCTGTCAGAACACATTATGGTGACTTATCGGTCAGGATTCATTAATGTGACCTTTATGTATAGTTTTGCACTTCTATCCTGTAGAGTCTAAATCATGGCTAATGCAGATGTTCCTCACTACAAGTGGAGCTCAGCAGTAACATCATTTACCATAAACATACAGGAGTAATTTCTTTATAAAGAGTGAATTACAAGATAAATAATGTAAATGTTGCTTTTTTAAAAATAAAATCAATCATATAGATCATATAGAATGCCCATTACATTGTATATTTCTCTGTTTCTAAATATGGGTTTCATAAAATGAGTATTAAGTAGATATGTACCTGTATTCTACAATGAAGCCAGTTTTTAATACTTAATATTATCACAATACTTAAATATAGGGTAGTCACAGCACTGTCTACCATCTGTGACTCAGGTTGTAAATGAAACCCAGGTAACTCATAATACCTACAAACAAAACAAGGGTAACTCATCACACCTGTACATGAAACAGAGGTAACTCATCACACCTGTACATGAAACAGAGGTAACACATCACACCTGTACATGGAACAGAGGTAACTCATCACACCTGTACATGAAACAGAGGTAACTTATCATACCTGTCAATGAAACAGAGGTAACTCATCACACCTGTACATGAAACAGAGGTAAATCATCACACTTATTCATATAACACGGGTAACTCATCACACCTGTACATGAAACAGAGGTTACTTATCACACCTGTACATGAAACACAGGTAACTCATTACACCTGTCCATGAAACACAGGTAGCTCATCACACCTGTACATGAAACAGAGGTTACTTATCACACCTGTACATGAAACACAGGTAACTCATTACACCTGTCCATGAAACACAGGTAGCTCATCACACCTGTACATGAAACAGAGGTTACTTATCACACCTGTACATGAAACACAGGTAACTCATTACACCTGTCCATGAAACACAGGTAGCTCATCACACCTTTACATGAAGCATAGGTAACTCACCATACCTATAGATAAAATACAGGTGACTCATGATACCTGTATAATGAAACATAGGTGACTCATCACTCCTGTAAATGTAACTCATCATACAAAAAAAACCAATATCAATGATCCGTTAATGATCATGTCACAATTTAGCACATTTTGAATGAAAATCATATGAAGAATCATGATTTGTTTTGGCAGGTTCATGAGTGAATATCACCAGATCTATTTGACAGCATTAGAGTCCTTTGTTAAAGAAAACTCTTTGTGGGAGTTCACCATTGAGGTCCATTTTCATTTTCTCATATGCAGCTGGTTCAACTGTCTTCAGACGTTCAGTTGTTACTGAACTACAACAGAAATTAATAACATCATATAAAATGGTCACTGCCAAAAAGACGATAACATACAACTTATGTAAACATGTAAATGGCTGTGAAAGTAAAGAAAAATGTTCTGTTTTTTCTCCATACTACAGCATTTCATATATGTGTATAGATAAAGTCATTAAATGTGTTATGTATACAAACTTGTTGATCAACATTTGAAATGTAGCATTTATGATTCTATCAGGGCGTGTCTGTAAGCAAAGTAAAATCAGCAGATCCATTCTTATTTCATACCCTTTTCCCATGGCTAAAAGCACTGTGAAGCTAAAGAGCAGACAACCCTTGTTATCTCCCATTCACCATTCCAATGCTATAATGAATAACTGACACAAGAAAGCAGCATTTTAGTACAATATCTACTCACCATCTTTGGTTAAACAGTGCACAACCTATAGGAACACAGCCAACAAAACTGTAAAACAGAAGGATTCAATAAAATAATTTTAATAAAATAACCACACGAATATATTAAACCGAAAGTACTGGCCAGACAGCATTAGTCATCTGACCGACTCAATCTTAGTGAAAAGGGCATGAAAATTACAGGAATAAACTGTGGGTAGACAAACACAATAGACAACAAAGACAAACACAATAGACAACAAAGTGAGATTTGGATAGGGAGAAGACCCAACAAACAAAATCTTACTCAAAGTCAGAAGGGTAGGCATATTAAGGTTAATAAGCTTGTAATTCTATTGAATAGCAGTAGACAAGGGTGGGCTTATTACAAGAAAAGGACTTATAAGTGGACAAACACAGTAATAAGCTAATTTTTCAATACAATGTACTTTTAAGATACATGTTTTACAGATTCTGTAGAGTAATTTTCAGATTAAAATTCAATACCAAAATAACTGTAAAAATAACACTGTATATACATACAGACAGTTGAAAAACAACAGTTGTACATAAAAATATATACATAGTTAAGAAACAGTGCATGTGTGGAGACTTACAAAATTCCTGAGAAAAAGACTTGGAGTGGTGCATTGACAAAGCGGCCATATTTTTTTATCCAGGCGTATTTTTCTAACCGCATCATGACAGGAGGTATCAAAGCTGAAATAAAGAGTAAATATCCATATCATCATGTCACAGTAGAACCATAATCTAAATGCTGAAAGTATTACAGACCTCATAGAAATCAATGAGAGATCAACTCCAATTAGCAACTATCCCCTGATACAGATACTTATATCAAGATTGATATGACCATATGCTGGTGTTGTTGTATTAGGAGATTCAACCTCTGGTCCCTTATTTAGCCTGGTGTATTGGAAGATTTGACCTCTGACCTCTTGATGACCCTTGTGGCTTTAGACATTTGACCTCTGACCTTACTGAGGCTCATGTGCAATAAACTTCAATAACAATATAAAGTGATATTAATTCAAGAAGATGCTGTCATCATTATCCCTGCCTGGCAGATAATTTAAGATAAGACATACTTCATTCCTGTAAGAATCTTTCAACTTATGTTATAAAACAATGACGTAAACACATTGAGTTCACAACAATAATGATGTCAGATTAATTCATTCAATTAAAGTTTACTTGAAATGAAGGATTCAAAACCTATTAATCCATACTGACACTGTTAACATACTCTCAAGAATGGGCCACTTACTTCTTAAAACAGGGGTTTATACCATGAATATTAGTTTCATAACATCTAAGGCCAACCTTACTAGTTATCTTTATAATTCCTGCCCCTTGATATATTATATATATATATAAGATGACAAACAAGACATTACCTACTGATAATACTTACTCATACAGGGAGTTACAATAAATAATCTGGATATAAACACCTGAAGGATCCCTTTCATAGCAGCATACTATAAAGATACAATGGTATCAAAGTCAATTATGATAAAAAAAACAGTCAGGTATCAGAGTGGAGACCAGTCTCTTCAGTTATTCACATTCTGTGGTGAGATCAATTGTGCTTTTTTTTCTTCACTGCTGTCATCAATACTACAATAACATATACAGTATCATGGCTTCATCACAGTGTCATCCAGTGAATCATTCACCAGTGTAATATTTTTGTGTATATGTCACTAATATACCTTGAAACATATTTCATTAGCTGCATTAGTCAGAAATAAAATATGATGTCATATTTAGGACAACAATGTTACATCATAAATTGAGAATGGCAGAACGAAATGGCTGCTAGCATTTGATTTTTTGCATGCCACGGCTTGCTAAGATAAAATCTTCTAAGACTTTTACAGAATCCCATAAATGAAAATAACAGATATGTGAAATTACTTTTTTAAGATAGCAACCCTGCATTTAATACACAGCCATTTGAAATGACTATATGCGATAAAAAGAAGAAATTAGTAGATACTTGAACTACTTTCAGGCCACATTTGTAATCTAATTCTGCCATACAGATGTATTTCATTTTCTTTCAGTGATCTTTAAATCCAGTTAGCATTACTTGAATAAGAGAAAAATGAATGAGTAAGTAATATGTCAAATCAAACAGTACATTTTGCCTCTAAACAATCTCTAAATAGTCTCAGATTGTGAACAGCATTACCTGACTAGTGTAAACAGCTTGACCCCTAGCTAATAGACTAGGACCTTAGCTATTGTACGACCTTGACCTAAGCCAATGAGTAAAACCTGAACTAGTGTGTTATAGACTTGGACTTGGACCCTCATAAATGTATAGACCTGGACCTTACCATGTACATAGACCTGAATGCTGTTGATGTATAAACCTGGACCTTAGCAGGTGTGTAGACCTTGAGTCTAGCTAATGTACAGGCCTGGATCCCCATTAGTGTATAGACTTGGACCTTAGCTACCGTTTGGACTTAGACTCTCATTAAGTGTACAGACTTGGACCTTAGCATGTACATTGACCTGAATCTCGTTGATGTATTAACCTGGACCTTAGCAGGTGTGCAGACCTTGTAATCTTGGTATGTGTACAAACCTTGTAACCTTGGTAAGTGTACAGACCTGGACCTTAGCAGGTGTGCAGACCTTGTAACCTTGGTAAGTGTACAGACCTGGACCTTAGCAGGTGTACAGACCTGGACCTTAGTAAGTGAGCAGACCTGGAACCTAGTTAGTGTATAAACTTGAACCCTTGTCAGTGTATAGAGCAGATCTTTATCTAGCTTTGACTTGGACCCTTGTTAGTGTACAGGACTGAACTTTAATGTGTAGGTCTGGATCCTAGCTTGTGTACAGATCTGTATAGACCAGGACCATAGCTAATGTATTAACCTGGACATCAGCTACTCTTTAGGTCTGGACCTTAGTTGATGTATAGACTGGTACTGTAACTAGTGTTTAGGCCTGAACCAAGCTAGTGTATAGGTCTGGACCTTAGCTAATGTATAGATCTGAAAACAAATTAGTGTATAGGCCTGGAACCTATCTAATGTATAGGTTTGGACCTTAGATAATGTCTAGATCTAGTGAAGAGACCTGGACCCTATCTAGCTTATGTATAGATTTAGGGAACAGACCTGGACTCTAGCTAGTATATAGTGTCTTACCTTGGATTTCCCCACTTCCTTATTGTTTTCGTCATAAACTGTAACTCCATCTATAATCTCACTGTAAATAAAGAAGTAGATAAAGTGATAGTACAAACCAATTCATTATTTTACAATAAAGACTTTTGTAACATGTGTCTTTAGCATACTTTCTATATAGTATATATACATGTACATCTATGACACACTGCCAAGTGATGGTATATATGTGTATGTCTGTGACACACTGCTTAATGACAGTACATACATGTATGTCTGAGACACACTGCTTAGTGATAGTACATACATGTATGTCTGTGATAACTACCTAATGATAGTACATACATGTATGTCTGTGATAACTACCTAATGATAGTACATAAATGTATGTTTGTGATAACTACCTAATGATAGTACATACATGTATGTCTGTGACATACTACCTAATGATAGTACATACATGTATGTCTGTGATAACTACCTAATGATAGTACATACCTGTATGTCTGTGATAACTACCTAATGATAGTACATACAGGTATGTCTGTGATAACTACCTAATGATAGTACATACATGTATGTCTGTGACATACTACCTAATGATAGTACATACATGTATGTCTGTGATAACTACCTAATGATAGTACATACAGGTATGTCTGTGATAACTACCTAATGATAGTACATACAGGTATGTCTGTGATAACTACCTAATGATAGTACATACATGTATGTCTGTGACATACTACCTAATGATAGTACATACATGTATGTCTGTGATAACTACCTAATGATAGTACATACAGGTATGTCTGTGATAACTACCTAATGATAGTACATACATGTATGTCTGTGATAACTACCTAATGATAGTACATACATGTATGTCTGTGATGGCACATACAGGTAGGTCTCTGACACACTACCTAGTGATGACACATACAGGTACGACTCTGACACACTACCTAGTGATGGCACATACAGGTACGACTCTGACACACTACCTAGTGATGGTTCATTCATATATGACTGACACACTACCTAGTGATGGCACATACAGGTACGACTCTGACACACTACCTAGTGATGGCACATACAGGTACGACTCTGACACACTACCTAGTGATGGTTCATACATATATGACTGACACACTACCTAGTGATGGCACATAGAGGTACGACTCTGACACACTACCTAGTGATGGCACATACAGGTACGACTCTGACACACTACCTAGTGATGGTTCATACATATATGACTGACACACTACCTAGTGATGGCACATACAGGTACGACTCTGACACACTACCTAGTGATGGCACATACAGGTACGACTCTGACACACTACCTAGTGATGGCACATACAGGTACGACTCTGACACACTACCTAGTGATGGTTCATACATATATGACTGACACACTACCTAGTGAGGGCACATACAGGTAGGACTCTGACACACTACCTAGTGATGGCACATACAGGTACGACTCTGACACACTACCTAGTGATGGTTCATACATATATGACTGACACACTACCTAGTGATGGCACATACAGGTACGACTCTGACACACTACCTAGTGATGGCACATACAGGTACGACTCTGACACACTACCTAGTGATGGTTCATACATATATGACTGACACACTACCTAGTGATGGTTCATACATATATGACTGACACACTACCTAGCGATGGCACATACAGGTAGGACTCTGACACACTACCTAGTGATGGCACATAAATATGTATCTGTAACACTACCTCATGATGGATCATATATTTACAATGTATGTCTATGCTGTTTAAAATTATATTTTCATTCATTAATTCAAAATGGTCTGATTTAAGTTGGCTTACTTTATGGTCTTGATATTATTAGAAGATCTGTAGACTGTATATGACATATCACCATAAGGTCCATTCTCTACACATTGAAAATCTTACTTTTGTCTCATTAGTGGAATGTTCACAGCATTAGCAGCAGCCACAGCAGCGAAGGGAACAAACCTCTGTAGCAGGGCAGAAGCATTCTAAATAAAACAGATTCCATATGATGAAGATTAATAAGTATGATTTGAAATGAAATAAAAAAAATAAATACACAAATATGTGTAATTAAATAAATCAATTAATAAATATCACCAAAAATACTTAAATAGGCAATTCCAAATAACTAATTACAATTAATATAACTGAATCAGATTCTGGGTAAATATCAGGTTTAATTTTTTAAAAAGAATTAATAACTTTTTTTTCGAATAATTGTGAAATAAGCTATAAAAAGAAGGCATCATCAATATTTCCAGCTCTCTCCTCTTGGTACTACACTACATTACCATAGACACAGTTCCCAGATTTCTGCAGAACATTTATAAAACCCTATTTCCATCATTCATACCAGTACTGTTGATGCAAAACATATATTACCCAAGATATGAACCATATAATTCTTAATCAGATTTAGATCTAAGTCACTGAAGCATGAAATATGAGTCAAATTTAGCCTCTGCAGCCTGCATTCTATAGAGTGACACTTATAGTATATTCAAGCAAGTGATCCTTTCAGTATTGTGAAGTCAACAACAAATATGAAAAATTATAACAATTACTTAATTCCCCATGAAACTGTCCACATACTTGTACCTGTAGCTACCAGCTGAATGATCCTTTAATTAGGTGTTACTCACTTTTGCAAGGAAAGCTTTCAGTCCTAGGGCGGTCACTAATGCACTTGTAGTAGCAGTCACATATGCAAACATGATTTTTCTACAACAGAAATTCCAATGTGCAAGACTATTGTAATATTTCCAGAAAATGTGATATATACAGTTATTGTTATCATCAACAAATTAAAAAAAAATAAAAATTCAGAGTCAGGATTTAAGGGAAATACATTTACTTCCATAGGAATCTTTGAAAAAAGTAATGTTTAATAACCTGGTATACAAAATTTCCATATCCATTCCTTTTCATATGTAGTGCACATTTACATCAGATTTATAATAAAAGCAGGATGGTTTATATTGGTACCTAGCATGTATGAATTTCCTTTACGGAGGTTATATAATCTTTTTGGCACTTCTCCTTATTGAGATCTATCTGCCTATGAAGTTCCGTGTTGATATTTCTTATAGTTTTACTGTAATGCTCCAGACAAAATTTAAGTATGAAAAATAACAAAGTTCAATAACTCCTAAATCATGCAAAAGAGAGTGATGGATCTGGTGCACTGCACATCTCCTTGTTGAGATTTATCTTCCTATGAAGTTTTATATTGATGTTTGTGCTATGCTCCAGACAAAATTATGACTGACAGACAAACAGATGCACGTACAAAGTGGCAGCTACATGCTCTCCCTTCAGGCAACATAGAAAAACCCATGAAACACAAGTATGAAACCAATTTTAAATACACATATACACTTGCCAACCTTCCTAATTTGAAAGGGATACTCCCAATTTTGGACCCTTAATTTAGCTATTATTAACAAGAGATTTTTTTTAATAGTTGTAATATTCTAATGATTCCAAAAGAAGCCATTTATAAGCCTTAATTCTTTACTGGAGGGTACATGTACACATTTTATTTATGTTTTTAATTTGAGCATGTAAAATCTCCTCGTAAATTTTTTTTTAAAGTTGTATTGTATTTAGAATACAATTTACATATATGTAACTACACACAGACAAAAAACCCCATTTTCCTGCTATGATTTAAACCTCTAATGAACTACCTTCAACCTCAGTTATTTAATAACATAAATTTACCTACTTGGTATCACTGGAACAGCCAGGTGCATTAGTATAGTTAACAATAGCATTAAATGACTGATTGGTCCATTGCCAGAATACAACTGCTGCCGGACTCCTATAATGAAAAAAAAAACATTTTGCTATTCATTCATTGAATTTTTAAGGTCCATGACCAGTATACATACATTGACATTACTACGTATATAGTTAGAAGCTGTGGCAAATTCCTGTTCTTGATTTCTGCTTTACATGTATATCTAGGAACACAATGAAATATTTATATACATGTATAAATTAAGCGTTTGTAACCAGGATTAAATTATTCAAAACCATAGAAAAGTTTCCTAACAAAGATAATTCAAATTTGACAAGAAAATCTAAATTCCACAAACCAAAGGTTGTGACAGTAACAAGAGGCCCTTAGTGCCTGTATCATTCATCTTGTGTTTTTTGCTGAAATTGATTAATTTAAGCTATAGGAAAAGTATTTAAAATACTGGCATCTATTTTCTCTATTAGGACTCCCCCCTCCTCCACAAGGAGGTTAGATGTACTGTTTGCACAAAACAAAGTCTTTACCCAAGGATGCTTCTGATCAAATTTGGATGAAATTAAATCATTCCAAAAGAAAAAGAATTTTTCAAATTTTTTTCTGTTTCCATTACTTGGCCTGCCCATCCCACCTCAGGGTACCAAAATCCAAATTCATAAAAAATTGTTCCTCTTTTCTCAAGCATAATGATGACGATGTCTGAGTGAGTCTGAATGAAAGTGTACATGTGTCATCCTTAATGTTTATTATTTAAAACGGTGTGAAATCTTCCAAAAAACAAAAACAAATGAAAAAAAAAACAGGAACAATATCTAGGAATTCCTACAAAAGAGGAAGGATGTTAATGTGTTTGCTGATTTTCCCTTATTGGGCCCTGCCCCACTTGACCCAGTTGGCTGAAACCTGAACCACAAAATTGATTCATCTTCACCTAAGGAGGAGGTGGAATTTCAAAAATTTGTTCTATTTACTCTTTTGGGCCCTGCTCCTCTAGCGCCAAAGGACCAAGACCCACCATTTATAAAGAACTGATTCCCTTTCACAACAGAATGCTTCAGACGGAATATGGAAAAAATCGAAATATTCCCTTAGAAGGAGTAGGATTTTAAAGAATAAGCTCTATTCTTCTCCTTCCCAAAGAGTGAAACAAAGTGTTTATTCAAAATTGATTTCCCTTCTCCCAAGAATGCTTTCTGACCATTTTAGAAATAAAAAACAATCATTCCTTGGGGAGGAGTAGTATTGCAAAACTTTATGTTCTGGGCCCTATCCCTCAGGTTCTGGGAGCCCTGAACCCACTGTAAAAAAATTGGTTTTCCCCTATCCCTGAGGATGCTTCAGACCAGATTTGGTTAAAATCTGCTCATAGCAATTTGCAGGAAAGGTTGACAAATGCCAGACAACACCGGACACTGCAGTATCCTTGTCCCTTCTGACTAGCTGAACTAAAAACTGATAATAATTTTCTTTAGTGGCTTGGAACTTTTTTTGAAATTAGATATGGAAAGAAAAGAAATTTTGTTCATTAAAAAGAGTTGTGCAATCAGGTTAAAAATGGCTACTGTATCTACAAAGTTTTGACCAGGCTGTAAGAAAACAACATATCACCTGCTTCTTTTAATTCATTAATCAAACTCAAAATTGTTTTCTTAATGGTGTGAATAGTTCAGACTATTTGTTCAAGATGAGTTACATTGGATTTTAGACTAAACCTAAAAATATGATTTGGCCAGGAAATCTCAGGAGCACTTCATGCATGCTTGATATCACTGTCACTCCCTATTAATGTTTCAGACCAAATTTCACTGAAATCCACCCAGAAATTACATTAAGGAGTAGCATTTTAGAGCAAAATATTGCCTAACTTCCCTTTTCAGAGCCCTAGGAGTCAAATCAATTCAAGAAATAATTCCCTGCCCCAATGATGTTTCAGACCAAATTTGGTTGAAATCCAACGAGATATTAAGCAGAAGTAGTGTTTTAAAGGAAAAGTGTTAAAAAAGTGGACACCAGAAGGTGGACAGTGCACAATAACGAACAACACATGATAGCAATTGGTCATTTTGACCCTTTGCCTCAGATAACAAAAATGGCCTAACACACCATACCTGTGCAATGTTATTATTCAATTAATGGGATAACACAATGTACCTGTAAAATGTTACCATGCATCCACAAAGAACCATGCCACCTGGGACTTGGAAAGACATCCTTCCTATAACATTTTGCAGTACACCTGTGTCTGGGTGAAATGCTGACAGTGTTGCCTGCTGGGCACGTCGGTAGTCTGCCACCGTCAACCCAGATGGTAGGCTTTTGTTTTTACTAAAAACATTACAAAAACTTCCTTTATTATTTTCAAAGCATAAATCATTTTTAGTTTATAGTATACAAATATGCTAAGTGAAATACATACATTTGTCAATTCATTATGAATATGTATTTAAATATTCAAGTTTTCCAAGAGTAGTATTCATCCTGCAATAAGCTTAATGCTGGTTATAATCACTTCATTCATAAATGAATTGTTACAATCACTTCATACATATACGAATTGTTACAATCACTTCATACATATACGAATTGTTACAATCACTTCATACATATACGAATTGTTACAATCACTTCATAGATATATGAATTGTTACAATCTCTTCATACATATATGAATTGTTACAATCACTTCATACATATATGAATTGTTACAATCACTTCATACATATACGAATTGTTACAATCTCTTCATACATATACGAATTGTTACAATCACTTCATAGATATATGTTACAATTCTTACAATCTCTTCATACATATATGAACATATATGAATTGTTACAATCACTTCATACATATATGAATTGTTACAATCACTTCATACATATACGAATTGTTACAATCACTTCATAGATATATGAATTGTTACAATCTCTTCATACATATGAATTGTTACAATCACTTCATACATATACGAATTGTTACAATCTCTTCATACATATACGAATTGTTACAATCACTTCATACATATACAAATTGTTACAATCACTTCATACATATATGAATTGTTACAATCACTTCATACATATACGAATTGTTACAATCTCTTCATACATATACGAATTGTTACAATCACTTCACTTCATACATATAGATATATGAATTGTTACAATCTCTTCATACATATACGAATTGTTACAATCACTTCATACATATACGAATTGTTACAATCACTTCATACATATATGAATTGTTACAATCACTTCATATATATATTGAACAACCTTGACTCATGAAGAATTAGGTTTATTATAAGAATATGTTGATTTTTCTGCTGAATCTGAAAATATAAAAATTCTGAGTGGACTTATTACCAGAAAGGAGTTTAATGCCATATATAGAGTACACTTGTAGTTCTATTTTACCTGTAGTAGTCCACTAAGTCCTTATACTGATATAATGTTTTTGTTGGGATCAATGTCAAACGGGTATCAGTGATCCAAGCATAGTAGCGAAGTCTTCCTTGAAACTTTGATAGGTCCCAGATAGGCTCATTCAAATTAACTGCAGATTCTAAGGTCATCTTCAGAGCATAATATGAAAATATAAACATACATAACTTGATGACATTGAGAAAAAGACATAATTCTGCATCCTTACTGATCACTTGTATATGTACATGTACATAATGAAGTAAGTAATGTCAACACTGAAGGCAAATATACACCGCTATGTGTAAATATATCAAGTCAACAGTAAAATAGTCCCAATGTACATTCAGCTTTCATCTCTAACTCATATAGAGTTATTTTGAACATCAAATCTTAATTAGATTACACATACACAAACATTTTTCACCTGTGATGCTTAAAATATGACAAGGTCAAACCCATTCCAGGCTAAAAATCATTATCTTCTCAAAATACACATACATTTGAAAAAAAAAATTATTGATCAAGTCCATTTCACTCATTGTCACCTAGAATAATCATCAACAAAATTTCTATTCTGAAAAGTTTGTACTATATCTAGCCAAAAACCTATTCCAAAGGTCATGACACTATATCTTTCTATTTTCCAAATCTTCAGAAAAGATAAAGACGAGTTTTCAGAAAAGAAAAAAATTGTTCAATGCAATATTGTCATCAGTGTCATTAACATAACTGATTTTATCAAGTAAACATGATATTGGCCACATCATGACCTTCTTAAATCATGAACAAGGGTCCTTCATCACTCTGCTGACTAATTAAGCTACTCAGCTACTTTTTAAAAAAAAAATTTAAAAAAGAATTTCAAATATGACAAACAATTTCTGATACAATTTCACTATCGGATCCTAGCCTTATAGTCAAACAGAAGAAGAAATATTTTTAAGAACTTCCAATTCACAAATTGGGCACACCCCGCTCATCCTTTGGTGCCAGGATACAGAACTGATTTGGGCAAAATTGGGTAATATCCATTCATTCCTAAAGGTGGATCAGGATTTTAAAGAGTTAATTCTATTTCCCCTATTGGGCCCAGTCTCTTCACTCCAGATGGCTGATACTTTATAATTGTATAAAATTGATTTTGCTTCATTAAAGAATGCTTCAGACAAAATCTGGGCACTATCCATTCAATCCTACAGGAGGAGTAGGATTTTAAAGAATTAATTCTATTTCCCCTATTGGGCCCAGTCTCTCCATACTCCAGATGGCTGATGCCTTATATTTGTATAAGATTGATTTCGCTTCATTAAAGAATGCTTCAGACCAAATTTGGGCAATGTCCATTCAATCCTACAGGAGGAGTAGCATTTTAAAGAATTAATTCTATTTTCCCTATTGGGCCCAGTCTCTCCATACTCAAGATGGCTGATGCCTTATATTTGTAGAAGATTGATTTCGCTTCACCAAAGAATGCTTCAGACCAAATTTGGGCAATATCTATTCAATCTTACAGGAGAGGCATGATTTTAAAGAATTTACTCTATTTCCCCTATTGGGCCCCACCCTTCCCTACTGCCCCAAGCAGTGACTTATGGTTTATACGGAAATGATTCTCCTTCATCAATAGATGCTTCAGATTTAAAATTTGGGCAATAGCCATTCATTCCTACAGGAGCAGTAGGATTTTAAAGAATTAATTATATTTCCCATCTTGAGCCCCATCTCTCAGCACCCCAAGTGGTTGATGCCTTACATTTGTACAAGATTGATTCTTCTTCACCTAAGAATGCTTCAGAGCAAATTTCAGCGATATTCATTCCTACCTAAAGAAGGAGTAGGATTTTAAAGAACTTGTCAAATTTCCCGTTGGGCCCCGTTCTTCTGATCCCTTGGAGCCTAGCACCAATTTGTATACACAATTGGTTCCTATTCCCCTGATTTTTGTCAGAATCTGTTAAAGCAACTATAACGTTAAAAAACACAACGAGAAAACAATATAAAAAATTCTATTTTCCAATAGTATGTTACAAAACTAAGACTTTTTGTTAATTACTAAAATTAAAAGTCACTGCAACCATTTTTATTGATATCTAAAAAATAAAGAATGTAAACAGTGCGGTTTTGATCTAATTCATACATACCGCTCATAACCCTGATGCTGCGCATGCATATAATCCTAGAAAGAAGCAACACGGCAGACACAAATATGAAAAGGCGATGAGGACCTAAAAGTTACCTTACAGAAAGTGCCAAAAAGCTAAGACGAAAGGAGTCAGACCAGAAAAGAGGACTGGCAAGAATTTTTATTAGAAAGGAGATCGATAGATGGCGAAAGATGAAGGAGGATCTTGGACTGAATACAGATTCGGAATTTGCAAAGCTGCTGCTTGACTGGTTAGCTTAATGTTAGCCCTATAATTATAACGTATCCACCTGTCATTGATTATAATCCAATATCCAGTGTTTGACGCGTGAATATGTTATGAACAACACTACTAAAAGTGTTATCTGATAAATGTTGAATGAAAATAGTTGTGTTATTCGCTTGAATTTGCTATTGACAACGTGTGTTTGTTGTTGACTGCAAGGTGGGGCCCAATTTGGGGTATTCATTCTAAGTGTAAAAATATGATGGTACTGGTGTTACTGTGAATACATAATGAATACATCGACACATGTTGAATGGTAAACAATATCCTAGTCACAGCAGATGTATCTTCACTTTATACTGCTATCCCACACTGGGATGGAATATTGGCAGTTAAAGATGCGCTTACCAACAATTATCAAATTAATTCCCCTGCTTGGATACTTTTGTGATTCTTGCATTTCATTCTCACCAAGAATTGCTTCCGCTTCGAAGACAAATTTTATCTGCAGAAACAAGGAACTAGTATGGGGACTATTTGTCCCCCTAACTATTTTTATGGACGACTTGGAAAACAAGTTCCTCCAGGGAGCCACTCTAAAGCCCCTTGTTTGGTGGCGTTACATCGATGATGTATTCATGATCTGGACTTTCACTAGCGAGGACCTCTGCACCTTCATAGAGAGTCTCAACAGCTTTCACCCAACTATCAAATTTACTTATGAAATTCACTCTCACAAGATCAGCTTCCTGGACACATATGAGTTGAAAAATGAAGATGGATCACTGAGTACTATCTTGTACACGAAACCCACCGATGCACACTTGTATCTACACTATTCGTCTTGTCATCCCAGACACCAAATACGGAACATACCTCTAGGATAATTCAAAAGGGCAAGAAGAATTTGCACAAATTTTAAGGACTTTGAAGACCAGAGTTCTCAGATTGAACATTGAACATTAACTTCGTATATGGACCGACGTATACGATACTCATCTATTTTTATTTAATAGAATTTAATAGAATATTTATCTATTTTTAGAACTGTTATTTCTAATTCCAGTTTTATCTCATTCTAATTATGAACTCTTTCTTATTTCATTATTTATTACAGATGTACTCACATCGTTAGTCATTGTGTTAGCTTTACATATATATCATATCGTCACACTCAACGATTGTTATTTATTCCAATGCTATAATATTGTTATTGTGTAACTGATTACAACAGAAGACTCTAATCTAGAGTCATTAATTCTATAACCCATATAGTATAGTTAAATCAATTGTAAACCACTAACTCTATAGAGTTTGGTGACTTCCGCCTAATCTAATAGATCATTATGTCACATTTCTATCATTATTTATGACGTAACCAACTAATGTTGTTGTTATCAATATGTGATGATGTAACAATCTGGGACTGTTGTTCTGAAGACGGGTTGCATGGACTCAAAGCATGTAAGCAACTGTTGCACGAATAAATCGTGAATTGGAAAGGAGCTGCTCGTGTTGTCATCACTCTTGACACGCATTTTACTTTTATCTAGTGAGGACTCTTGTATACCTTTCGGTATCCACGGCAGCCCAAGGGAGAAAACCTTTGAACTTTTCACTTGTGGGACGTTGTGCCTCCATCCCACTGTATTAATATCTATTAATGTGAACAGACAGAGTAGCAATTCCTGTGCATTTCTGCACCATGAGTTTTTTCTTTTCTGATTGTAATTACCCACTTTGGGGCCCCACTAGTTTAGCGCATGTGATTGACATGGGTAATTCTTGTACGAGAAGCCAAAACAGAACTAGTTACTTAGATTGATTGTTAAAAATTATATATTATATCACTATAGAATCATTTACTGCAAACAAGAATTAGCAGAAAAGTTTAAAAGCAAGTGTCATACATAAGATATGTGCATTTGTTTACACTTTCCTCGTAATTCACCTTTTCTTTGCAGCAGAAGTAAATGACTTTGTCACATGACAAGCCATGTGACCCACTCTGCTTTCTTGTAATAAACCGAGCATGATCATGTTTATAAACAATAGTCCAGAAAAACAATGTTGTGACATTGAAAATATGTACAAAAACAACAGATTTGCTGTTATAGGCGCATGTATAGCTTTATTGTGAATATGTTTTATTATTCACAAGCTGAATTCTCCATTTCCCCATGTTGATATCTAAGGTAAGTCATTCATGACTAGTAGTGATTTTATTAAACAGTTGACAGATGTTAGACACTGCACCATGACGTAAGTTCACCAGTCCTTTGGACCAGGTAAGCTAAAAATACTAGAATCACCTGAGATTTAATTACTTTTCATCTATATGTCAAAATAATTATCAAAAATAAAAATGTTGAACATTAAATACATAGGGATAACTGTACAATAGAATTGATTATCGGATCTTTTTCCTTGTTACCCTTTAACACATCCTTTCACCTATGATTTTGATGGGCTATGACCAGATAGTAGATTCCTTTAGGTTTGCAATACTGTGTCATCAGTAACCGGATTATGAACAAGGTACAAACTATGAAAAGAGGTAAAAAAACAGCCATTACAATGCATCAAGTCCTAACTAATTCAGAACCTGTATCTAATGTGAAATGGAAATGAAGCTTGTATTTATTCTAAGGAGTACACATTACTCAGGTTTATTCTTTAAAATATTCATTAGCTCTAACATAGAAATGCTGTCTGTGTGTCTGGGCTTTGATGACTATAGTGGTATCACAACACATCGTACTGTAATATATAGCACTTCCATGACATTATTTTTATTTATTTTTTTAAGTTCGTGATCATTATACCATACTAAGGCCTCAGCATATCATGTTTCCAGTTTTGTAAAGAAATCTAGTATATTCAGCACAGTAATGTGATACAATTTATAGTTTGGATATCAAATATCCCGGGGCTCACAACTTAGCAAGTAGAGGTCACGATAGCAGACAACACTTTTGATCAAATTACATTCTCCAGATTACTTTTGTGATCATGCCATTCCTGAGTTCCATGTCAATGATTTTTAAACATCTATGCATGTTTCGTACATATAGAGTATCATATATGGCTGACATTATTAATATTTACAAGAATTATTTTATATCAACACATACCTTGACGAGATCTCTGGCTGGAGCACCTGCACATTATACGTAGAATTCTTCTACGTTTGAAGATACAATTGGAGTAACTTCCGCTTTCAAAATGAGGCAGTGACGTCACGCGTAGTTACATAGCGAAGCCGTAGATTTCCTTGGAGGAAAATGGTAAGGCGAAGTTGTGTAATTAAACCAGCAAATGAAATGTTTTAAATATTTTATAGACAGTACAACTACAAACATGTAGACACTATTTAATGAATCCGTTTTATCTCACCGAAAATATAGATCATTATTGGAATCAAATTTCTTTCCTTGACATGATCTGTACACAGACACACAGGAATATTGGTCAACGAATGCAATTTGAACTCTATACAGTTGTGTTTCGTATCTTGCCTTTTTATGTTGGCTCTTAGTAGCTGCTAAATGAAAAGTTCAACCAACAATTGCTCATGCATTGCATGAATTTTTTTATTTTGATGGTGTGAGTAGTGTGTGATCTAATCAGATAGAGGAAGTAGATGGTGACCAGAATTACGATTCGCATTCGGTCGGTCGTCTATTTGTTGTCAGATAAATCATCTGTTGTTAAAATCCGCAGATTTGTACAAAATATGATTTTAAGTTTTATGGATGAAACATGGTAAATCATATGACATTATGCTAATATGATCATAAATTAATTTCAGGCTTTTGAAGTCATGTGTCAATTTATGTATACAGTATCGTTTTATTTCGTGTGCATTCTCAGGAACTATGATAATTGGAAGCAAAATAACTTTGGGTTTTTATGGGCTACCCAAATACTCTTGAAGATCTGGTAGATAATGGATAACCGAAAGGTATCAAAAAACGCCTGTGATATGAGGTGAATATTTCCACAACAAAGGATCAGCATATATCTGGTATATGTTCTGAAATGAGCTTTCTTTGTCTCATGATAACAGCTATATAAAGGAACCATCTGTAATCTCCATTTTCCCACCCATCATTTGGTATGCTTAATTCTTTTAGTGGTTGGTCACGAGTATCAGTTTTCATCACACTTAATTCACATTTTGAGTCCAGATTTTTGTTCACTTAAACCACAAAATATTCATTGGCTTATGTAATTGAATGTTCTTTGAGACCTAAATGCTGTTGTCAAAAGAATATTGTTTGCAGGGGAATTTATGATAATTCTAAGTTTATTTAATAGTCAGTTTATTCCCTTATTATTGGTGAATGATTTACACCATGATATATGCACTTTGTCTCAAAGTTCAATAGAAACTAATATTGGTTTTAACTCGAAATTCGTCCATATTATTGCTTCACTATACGAAAATATGTTTAGTGCCGTTCTTCATCAAGGGTTTGTTTCCGATTGGTTCAAAGTTTGCCAGGGCACGCGTCAGGGAAGCATTATCTCCCCTTGGCTGTACACTGTTTTTATTAATGATTTACTGAATGAACTGTGCTCATCAAGTTATTCATTTTCTATCCATGGCACCAACGTCACTTGCCCGACGCAAGCCGACGATATCACATTGCTCTCACTTTGTAAACGTGGCCTGGACAATCTTATGGATGTCTGCTATGCGTACAGCATTAAGTGGCGTTTTATGTATAATGCATCTAAGTCAACTGTCATTGTCTTTAATGAAAGCAAAAATGCCTATTCCAAAAACACCCGAAAATGGGTTCTGGGTAATGGGATTGTTTCGGAGTCAGCCAATACGAAACATGTCGGCATTTTTCTTAACAAGTTCAAAATTGGATCTCCAGATATCCATGACATTGTTAACAGGCTACGCAGTCAATGTTTTGCGCTACTTAACTGCAATTTTTTTGATACTGGTATGAACCCCATCACGGGTGTGAAATTATACAAGTCTGTTGTTATGCCAAGATGCCTCTTCGGCTGTGAACTCTGGTTTTCTCTGACAGATTCAGACTGGTCTCGCATTGAAACTGTACATCACCTTTGTGCAAAACTCATTCAAAGGTTCTCTCGTCGCACACGTTCAGACATCGCTCTAAGCATGTTAGGTCTTACTTCTATACAAGTCGAGGTCGATTTAGCCAAACTTCGTTTTTTTGCTAGTCTATGTAGACTTGATACTCATTTTTCCGCTAAAAGATTGTTTATGCTTCGTCTTTTTCATAGTTATTTTGAAGTCTGTAAAGAAGAAAAAGATCTTGTCTCAGATGTTTTGAACATATTTCATGAGCATGATTTACTTGATGTGTTACATACATTTTTGCAATCAGGGTACTTTCCATCGAAACAAAAATGGAAATTTTTGACAAAAAATGTCTTATTGCGTAATTACACTACTGACTGGAAACAACGTCTTCTTCTCAGCAGTGACTTTTCTAGGTTTAACTATTTGCAAATCGAAATTAGGCCTTCAAATATCTGGCTTCTTTCAAAACGTTTCCCATCTTTGGATAACATTTGTGCTAGCGTTGCTAAATTATGGACTATGTCTCCTTCTTGTCAGCTAATGTGTGCAAAGTGCAGCACGTTTGTAAATGACGCAGTCGCACATTGTTTATTAGACTGCTCACATATAGATATTTTGTCTCTACGTGATGATATATTTACCAAAATTGTAAATGATTACCCTGTACATGTTTATATAACTGTTGACCAGGCTTCTCGTGAGGCTCAGGTAGCCACATTTCTCTGTTCTCCTCCCGAAAATATTCAAGACATTTTCGGAGGATACGATGACCTTTTCTTCCACTTTTTACGTGATTGTTGTGTGTTCTCCGAAAAGGTGTCTCGCCTTACATTTCAGTAACTTCTTTTGATAAAAGGTTGCTATCATCGACTGCATTGGTGTCATTTGGAATGCTTTAGTAATTTAATTGCTCACTTTCTCTTTCTGGATATTTACTTCTTTATTTGATCGACAACTAATCTCACTATCTTGTGTACATGTATCTTAAAATATGTTAATATCTTTTTCATTTATTTGTAACTCTTCATCTTTTGGAGGAATAAAGAAATGAATGAATGAATGAATGAATAGAAACATTAGATTGTCTTAGCTTTCAATATGCTAGCACATCCTTTTGCTGTTAGCATACATTACCGCATTATCACTAAAGCAACAAAGATGTATCAGTTCCACATTCACTGAAATTAGCAATGTTTTTTTTATTTTTGTGCTTGAAGGTTATCTTACTTCATAAGTTTAAGTGAAAAAAAAACTGATTTTGGCAGATTTACAGTTTTTACAGAGTTTGATTTGTAATAATATGAAATAAGTTAATTTCTGCAGTCTTTCATAAACATTCTATAGAAAAAAAATCATTCATCTCTAGATGCTAAAGTTTGTCATGTTAACACGGTTCTATTTTCAGAATCTTGCTGCAATGTTATGATCAGCTTTCCGACAGTTTAGTTTCAGTTAACATGGTTTTTTCATATGATTCACATCACTGGATGAAAGAATATGTTGCTCCCCTATACTTTTTCTCATTCATATTGTTTAAGTTGTTTGTTCTGTCAAACAATGTATCTTCCATCACTTGTTCGTTGCTACAGTTAATGATTACATTTGAAAACAATATGTCTTTCGCAGAAGAATATATATACCAGGGAGGCATTGCAGAAAAATTACAAAGAACACCTAAAGATTTATCATTTACATGCCATTGTTCAGAAACCAATGTGCAGAAAAGAACAAGAAACATATCGTAGATGTGTGTTTGACAGTTGGAATAAGACACCAACTCCAAACATGATAATTAATAATCATTGTAGATATAGCATTAGTTTTGATAAATAATAATATGAAAATCTAAGTGGTTAGGTGATTACAAATTGCTTTCCATTTACACGTACCAGTGACCAATAAACTGTAACATGTTTCTCTGAAGTCATTTACACTAGCTCTGTTGCTCGAAAACAAGGGAAGGAACTCATTTGTATCATTTTGCTTGAAATTACCTGAGTTGTTGATTTTTTTTCTGCAGGGTCTTCTAAGTCTATTGAGGAAGATGAAAGGTGGCCAAGATCAGCAGATAAGAATTTTGCTTCTTGGTCTAGACAATGCTGGCAAGACAACAATACTTAAGACGATGGCTAAGGAAGAAATACAGAATATTACCCCAACACAGGTAAATTAAAGAGAATGTTGACCTTTTCCCATAGTTATGGCAAATACCACAGCTTCCATTGTCTGTAAGTCTGTGGCATTTCTTATAAATCACAAGGTATTAACCAAAAGCAGATTTTGACTTGATTTGGTCTGAAACATCCCTGAGGGAAAAAAGAAACTGATTGTGTATAAATGGTAGGCATAGGCTTCTATAGATTTATATTTTATGTTGATGTAGAAAACTCAACTGCTGTTAAAACCTATTCAAATGGAAGTTTGTTTTTTGTAAAAAAATTGTGAATTTCATGGTTCCATGATCTCACATTTCCTTGTAGAGAAGGGTAAAGTTTACTTTAGTTTATATAGGAAAAAATTGATTTTTTAAGCATTATTTGTGGAATTTCCATTGGAAATATTTCAGACTTGGTTAGAATAATGAGGGAAGGATGACAGCTTGTTGGTATGCCCATAATGATCCTGGCTGACCCCCAGGATTTGATGTACAGGGCCAAAAAGAGTCCAGTTGACACTAATTTCAAAATGGGTCTCACATTTCTCTATGGGGAGGAGGTTAACTTTACTTAAATTTTTGTTGAAAAGTATCATTTTTCAGCATAACGTTGTTTATTACCTATTGGAAATAATTTTGTAAGAATTATTAGTATAGAATGACAGTTTTGATGATATGCATGTATTGACAGTGACTTGCTATCCTCAATGTCACAAATTCTTTTTCATGACACTTTTAAGTGCTTACTTTTTAACCTTTATATTATCTCTGGTGACCATCAAGGCTGTAGGCCTCTTGTTTGTAATTACTAGAATTAGGAACAGGGTGACTACAGATCATGTCTAACAGACATCTGGTTGTTCTATACCACTATTCATAGGGTTTTAAAGACAACTTACTTAGATTTCTACACATGTTCATCTCTATATCAAATTTTTGAATTTGTCTCCCAGTTGAAAATCAACAGAAACCAATGTACTTACATAATATCTGTTTTTGATTTGATGCTTTATCTTTACAGGGGTTTAATATCAAATCTGTGGTGTCATCTAAAGACCGTTGCCAAATGAATGTTTGGGATATAGGAGGACAAAGGAGAATAAGACCCTATTGGAAGAATTACTTTGACGATACAGATGTATTGGTATGTTAGAAAGTATTATAGTGCAGTCAGAAAATGCAAATGCATTAATAAGTTAGATAGTATGGTGTGGGAAGAATATAACCTACCATCATCAGATGGTTTGCTGTTCAAATTGCCTTGTATCTGTTATGCAGCATCCATTCACCTGTCCAATAAATAATGCTTGTTATAAATCTTTCATGAAAACAATGCAAGTGTCAACCACTATTGTGTAAGTCATGACTATAGGTCATGTAAGGTCACACATGTGACCCCAGTTGTGTACATCAATTTTAAGTGCCAACATTTTATGTACTTTAGAGGGAAATTTTATACATCCTGATGAAGCCCACATAGCTTGAACGAAACAGGAAGGCCAGATTAATAAACCTATGACCAAAGTTATTTTGAGCTTGTTGCGGTTGGTACTTGCATTTGTTAATCCCTATTCCTCAATTGACCTGCATACTGGGTGGTGTCTGAGCAAGGGATATCTGGAACACCCTAAATTACACCAAGAACCACGGCCTTGGCTGTAGTCCCAGAATTCTTTCTTGAGAAGTAATGGATAGATCATTTTCAAATTTTATGTGCAGATTCGTCTTTGTTCCTAGTCGCGCATTTTCTCATTCAGGGACTTCCAAAAACACAGACGATTGTCTTGGCTTTTGACAGTAACAGTTTTTTATCGCTGTTTCTTTAGATGTAACAGATGGATAATGCTCAGATTTTTATCTGTAGGTTCCTCTTGATTCCTAGTAGTACATTGTCTGATTTAGGGACAGTTCTAATAGATAATATGAATAGAATAGAAACATTCAATTTATCAAACGTAGGCATTCAAGGTATTTATAGATGTTGAATGTTTCTTGAATCATTCTTTTTACAGATATATGTGGTAGACAGCACTGACAGAAAACGAATGGAAGAAACTGCAACGGTAAAGAATATTTTATTTGGAATATATTTCAGTTCAACACATTTCCTGAATACAAGTTTAAATTTCTGTAGATAACTAACTCTTCTTATTAGCCCACCATCATCAGATGGTGGGGTATTCAAATCACCCTGCCATCCGTGGTCCGTCCGTCCGTAAACAGTTCTTGTTACCGCTATTTCTGGAAAAGTACTGGATGGATCTTTCTCAAATTTCATATGCAGGTTCCCCTTGGTCCCTAGTTGTGCATTGTACCTTTTTTGAACTGATTCGCATTCAAGATGGCCGACAGGCAGCCATCTTGGATTTTGGAAGTAAAAGTTTGTTACTGCTATTTCTTGGAAAGTACTGGGTGGATCTTTCTTAAATTTCATATGCAGTTTCCCCTTTGGTTCCAAGTTGTGCATTGTACCTTTTTTTTGACTGATTTGAAATCAAGGTGGCCCACAGGCAGCCATCTTGGATGTCGACAGTAATACAGCACAAGCATATTGTCCATTATCCACCTGTAACTGACTGCTGTCTAATAATACTTTGGGATCTTTTTCAAAAGATATTTGCTAATAGGTGCTAAATAAAAATATCTTGTGCCATCATTGAGTACATTCAATGAAGACCAGTTCATGAACATTAACAACACCTGTAACAAACAAAAAAAAATAAACAAATCTTCAAGAACTGAAAACAGATCCTCAAATGGTGGGCGCCAAGATCCCTCTGGTTGACTATATCATTTTGATCAATGCTCATTGTAAGAATTAGATTTTGAATGCATTTATTCATTTAGAAACAGTATGGTAATAATGTATTTTGATCCATATTTTGTGTAGTATTTTTATCTACAAGTAGATGTTACTGGAGCAGTAAGAGAATTATAACTTGATTGTAGTAAGTCCTAAGTGATTGAGAGTCCTGAGTGATCATGTGTAGTAAGTCCTGTGTGATCATGTGTTGTAAGTCCTGAGTGATCATGTGTAGTAAGTCATGAGTGATTGAGTGTAGTAAGTCCTGAGTGATTGAGTTAGTAAGTCCTAAGTGATCTTGTGTAGTAAGTCCTGTGTGATCATGTGTTGTAAGTCCTGAGTGATCATGTTTAGTAAGTCCTGAGTGATCATGTGTTGTAAGTTCTGAGTGATGGTGTGGAGTAAGTCCTGAGTGATCATGTGTAGTAAGTCCTTAGTGATTGAGAGTCTTGAGTGATCATGTGTAGTAAGTCCTGATTGATCGTGTGGAGTAAGTCCTGAGTGATCATGTGTAGCAAGTCCTGAGTGACCATGTGTAGTAAGTCCTGAGTGACCATGTGTAGTAAGTCCTTAGTGATCATGTGTAGTAAGTCCTGAGTGATCATGTGTTGTAAGTCCTAAGTGATGGTGTGGAGTAAGTCCTGAGTGATCATGTGTAGTAAGTCCTTAGTGATTGAGAGTCTTGAGTGATCATGTGAAGTAAATCCTGAGTGATTGAGTGTAGTAAGTCCTGAGTGATTGAGTGTAGTAAGTCCTGAGTGATTGAGTGTAGTAAGTCCTGAGTGATCATGTGTAGTAAGTCCAGAGTGATCATGTGTAGTAAATTCCTGAGTGATCATGTGTAGTAAATCCTGAGTGATTGAGTGTAGTAAGTCCTGAGTGATCATGTGTAGTAAGTCCTGAATGATTGAGTGTAGTAAGTCCTGAGTGATTGAGTGTAGTAAGTCCTTAGTGATCATGTGTAGTAAGTCCTGAATGATTGAGTGTAGTAAGTCCTGAGTGATTGAGTGTAGTAAGTCCTGTGTGATGATGTGTAGTAAGCCCTGAGTGATCATGTGTTGTAAGTCCTGAGTGATCGTGTGGAGTAAGTCCTGTGTGATCATGTGTAGTAAGTCCAGAGTGATCATGTGTAGTAAATCCTGAGTGATTGAGTGTAGTAAGTCCTGAGTGATTGAGTGTAGTATGTCCTGAGTGATCGTTAAAAAGCTTATTTCTGACACAGATATTACCAATCATCCAGTTGTATACCCATATTTACCAAAGGCTTTTGAGATTTACTTTAAAAATAAAAAAGGATCAAAAGATTTTTATCTTTTATTATGTCACAACAATACATTGTCTACAGGTAAACAAAAATGGAACACCATGTTTGAATACAGTGACGAAAAATGGAAACAAATATACAAATTGCCTTTTAAAGTAACAAAAAATACCAAATTACATTGGTTACAATATAGGATAAATCAGCATATTTTAACTACTAACACTTACCTATCAAAAATAGGGATAGAAAATAGTTCTTCCTGTTTCCAGTGTGGAACAGAACCAGAAACAATTATTCATGCCCTATGGGAATGTGAAAAAGTACAAAGATTTTTACAGAATTTTGAATATCTTGTGGACAGTCTTTCAATTCCTTTTGCATATAATAAAGAATCCTTTTTATTTGGAATATTGAATAGGAACAATATCAATTTTGTAGTGGACAACACAATAATATTGATAATGAAACAGTACATCTATAGCTCTAGATGTTTAAAAACGGAATTATCTATTCATGGTCTCAAGAATCTAATTAAGGAAACATATTGTGTCCAGAAATTCATAGCTACTGGAAAAGGGAATCTGGTACTGGATGAGTTTAAAAAAGTATGGAGGAAATGGGAAAAGTTAATTGAGATAACTTAGCATCATAAATTTGTGTTTCTAGGATGTGGTTATACATTCCCAGGCAGCTCCCTCTTAATTTCTCTCTCTCTCTCTCTTTCTCTCTCTCTCTCCCTCTCTTTCTCCTTCTGAGATATATTCCTTTTATGTAGTTATGTGTATTTGTTCTGTGTTTTTTGAGTGGGTGAAGTATGAGTGATAATAACATGTAAGAATGTTTGTATAGGTGTAGTATAGGTAAAGGATGAGTGAATATGTATACATAGTGGAAAAATGAGTGAACACATCCTTCAGGGGAGTTTGTATAGGTGTATGATATATATATGAAGAATTAGTGAAATGTAGTGTATGAAATAAGTGAATCAATCTTTTATGAGTGTTTTTGTTATATAAATGAGGTGCAGGTGAAATATGAGTGAATGTAGTATAGGTGAAGGATGAATGAATATATCCTATATAATAAATATACCAGTTGGGAGTGTTGTATAGATGAAATGAAGGTGATGTATGAATGTAGGTGTATGATGAGTGACTGAAAGAAGAAAAGCTGAATGGGATATAAAATATAAATGAGAAAGTGTGGTATGTTTATTGTCTTGCAATGTATCCTGTTTGAAGAAAAAAATAAAAAGTTACAAAAAAAAAGTCCTGAGTGATCATGTGTAGTAAATCCTTAGTGATTGTGTGTTATTAGCTCTGGATGATTGTGTGATGTAAGCTCGGTGATTGAGTGTATTAAGTCCTAAATGATATAGTGTAGTACATCCTGAGTGAGGAGAAATCACACAATAACTGACTGACATCATGCTTCACACCTGTAACAGAAAGAGTGAGTGAAAAAACTCCCCTTGTCAGGCCACATACCCTACTTCTTTATTGGTATAACCCCTACAACAAAGTGGTATCCAACAAAGCAAATGTCCAAGAAAGAATTTTTTCTGAAAACTAGTAAAATTGAGTCGCACTTGAATAAATGATTTTACAGTTATTAAGTGTACTTTCCCACTACAAGCAGAAATTGACAGCTTTTTATTATATTTCAGGAATTAGAGGAATTATTAGAAGAGGATAGACTGGCCGGTGTACCAGTTCTGATATTTGCCAATAAACAAGATTTGGGGACTGCACAGCATCCTGATGAAATCAGTGATGCATTACGACTTGACAGATTTCGTAACAGGCAATGGCATATCCAGGCATGTTCTGCCAAAAACAATGAAGGTTTGGAGGTAGGTTTTCCAACTCTGTGATTTGGTGTAAATAAGGAATACCAGATTTTATGTAAGTCACATTGATAACAAAGAGCCACATAGACCAGGAGCCCCTTGATTGGCTGTTTATATGTACCTATAAACAGACATATAGTTATATACATATGTGTGTGTTAACATATATATATGATAAATATAAGTAATTACAACAGTAGGCACAAGTAAAATGTCAAATTTTGGGGCAATCTGACCCTTAATTAAGACACAAAATATTACATATATTACATCGCATACATAGAACATAAAACAAAGTTACAATCTATTATTGATAATAATAATGTAAAGAGTATTGATAATCCCTTGATCTGATGGATGCCAAAAGCCTTTTATAAGGACTTCAGACTTAAAAAAACATCTTCATGTGGTGTTTGAAAGATGGTGAATATTTATCAACTTTGAGATTAATCATTTCAGTGCTGTGTGTGTGGTAGCCAAAAATAAGATATTTTATGTAAAGATTTTAACAAATGTATGTATATTTAGAATGAAAAACATTTTGGATTAAAATCACCAGCACAAAAAAAGAATCTTTGAAAAATCTTTTGAATAAACAAGTTGATGGATGTTTAAGTAACAAGGTGCTGATATTAAGGTCTGATTGGCTGACATCGCCAGACACAATATTTTGCTGAAGGAATCATCTGATCTAAAGGAGATTTACTCAGTACACTTATTTCTCAGATCCTTTGAGCAGGTTGTTTGTTAATCAAGTTCTGTACATGTTTAATGAGGCTGCTATGATCTGATATTCTGATTGCATTCTTTACAATATCTTTTGAAGTATTGATAGATTACATGATGATTACACAGTGTAATAATTTAACTTCTTTTATGTTCTTAGATTGAGAAACTAAAGATAATTTGATGATAATACAATTATATTTTAAGGTTGGCAAATTAAAGATAATATAATTAGATTTTTGGATTGGCAAATTAAAGACAGTACAATTACATTTTTGGGTTGGCAAATTAAAGATAATCCCAGAACCAAGAAGGCCAACATTTTGACACAAGTCACTGTGATAAGTAGATTTGCAATAGGGTCTTATATCTATTATTCAGTCCATTTAGAAATAAATTGGTACTTCTATATTGTAACACTTTGGTTGACCTCAATATTAAGGTCAGACACATAGCTGGTTCCATTTGTAACTACCCAGTAGTCAAGGTTAATGATTCCGTACCAAAACTACTTGCTAGGAATTTATATCAGCTGCATCTGAAATTTAATTTGGTCGTATGTTGTTACCTTTGAGTTTTTTGTACAGAAGTATTTTCCATTTCAATGTTTCCAAAGGCCAAAAAAAAGTACACTGTTATTTTATAAAATATTTTAAAATTATGCTGGTATAAATTAATTACATGTTCAAGTTTGAGTTTATGTCAGATCTGGCAAGAGGCTCATTGGGCTTGTATTGATCAGCTGGTATTTTAACATAGAATAGAAGTTCATTCAACACAATTTCTGTGGTTTCACATGATATTAACATCATGGTTGTTAGTGGGACAAAACAGATTTCAAACACTGTGAATATTGTTGATCTTAATGTAATGCTTTTCAGAAATATTTGTTGTAGAATAAACAGAACATTTCGTCTTTTCACAGGAAGGTGTTTTATGGTTCCAAACTAAGGCACTCAAAGGTCGTAAGAAGTAGTTCCAACATGGACCAGTTATCACCAAGAAATAAGGAATGACTGATATGTCAGGAATTTACTCACTATTGTAATGCTATAATGGACCCAGTCACATCTCATCTTGGACATGACATATTCAGTGAGAGTACGCAACATTCTACATGAGTGGGATGCTAGTTCTTAAATGGTAATCCACATATCATCGCAGCTCACTTTTGAGTGGACCGAAGCATTGAGAGCATTGACCTTACAATACATGATTACAACATATCACAGACTGTTGTAAGAGCAGTGTTACACTGCTAATTTGGTGGTTCATACATGGTCTTTTGTTTTCTTTTCCTCGTGTATTCCTAGCTTTTTACTTTTGAATACAAACTTATTTTCAACTCGGTAGACATTTTTAAAATTCGATCATTTGATATAAAAAGAATCCTTTTAGTTTGTTTAGAAGTGGCATTGGAGCCAAATCAACATTAGCCATAAACACTACTTACTGTTATCCAGCTGAGGTTGACTTTTTAGGTCATCTGACCCAAAGGGTCAAGATGACCTATTGTTATCATTCATCGTCGTGCGGTGTTGGCCAGTTGCCATTCACAAACTTTTCTTTTAAATCACTACTCCTGCTTAACTCCGCAAAAGGATAGTAAGACAGTAATTTGCTTCAGAATGCTACTATTCCTTAATGCATGAATGGCATTCATTCAATTTGGTTGAAACATCAGTGGAGTTAGGGAATTAATTCTTCAATTCAAAAAATTAATTAGTTAAGGACTTGGGGCAGGGCCCCAAATGGGGATGTTAGTTAATATTTTGCCTCAAAATGCTACTTTTCCTTAACGTTTGAATGGATTTAAACCAAATAGGGTCTGAAATGTCATTGTGGGTGGGAAATCATATATGTTTCTTAAATTCAGGATGTTGACTGGACCCTTAGACACTTGGGGCAGAGCCCCAAATGAGGAAGTTATGCAGTATTTTGCTTCAATATGATGCTCTTCCTTAATGCTTAAATGAATTTCATTCAGATTTGGTCTTGAACTTCATTTCTTAAACTCAGAAAGTTGATTTGACCCTAAGGGACTTGGGTCATAGGGACAGGTCCCACATGGGGAAATTAGGCAATATTTTGCTCCAAAATGCTACACCTTCTGCATACCCGAATAGATTTCATCCAAATTTTGCCTGAAACATTTTCATTCACACCACTGAGAAAAATAGTTGGAGTTTGTTTTGTTAAGGAAAAGAAAGAGATGGTACATGTTGTTATTTTTCAGCCTGATCAAAACTTCAGCATGGTAACCACAGTAGGAATGTTCCAAATTTGAATTTATCAGATTGGTCAGACCACCATCTGCAAATTCTGTGGTTTGTCGATCAGTTCATTGATTGTCAGATGACCGTTAAGGGCCATTGCTCTCTTGTTACAAATTGTCATCATTATTTTGGATTTAAAATATTATTCATGCTGAAAAGACTGATTTTTTCTTCGTTTTAGTTTACCGTCTAAATCATTATGATACATTATTTTAGCACTTTTTGTGAATCGATTTAGGAAAATATCCTTTCTTTTGTAGACATGTTTATCATAATTTCATTTCTCAAATCACTAGCTTTGGATTCTTATCTGAGTAAAAGTATCAGAAGGTTGTAAAGTTTGCCATCTATATCATCAGTCTACATACATTCAATATTCAATGTATCACGAGACATTGATATCAATAACCTCCACTAATTCCTTGATATCTCTCTTTCTTATGGTACTGATATATCTAAAAATTATGTTAATCATGATAGTAAGTTTATCATTTTGCAACTGAAGAAGTTAGTACTTTACATTTTTTAAATGTTGATGTTAAAAAAACTACAATAGAATATATCAAAGTGCTCTGTTAAATTCCAGTGTTTCAAATCTGTTTTTGCCCTTTGTCCAAATTGAAGTCATTTACAACCTATCATTACAAATCTCAAACAGCTGTTGTTGCCAGTGATCACAATATTGAATATCAGATATTTAAGCATGTTATCAGAACTGAGAATGCTAAAATAGCTTATCTAAATTTGACTTTATCCTTTAACATATAACATTGAGAGTGTGTTTCAGGTACAAAAACTTGTTAATTTTAGTGAATGCATAATTGTTTGAACTGTATGCTGTATAAGCCAACACACAGATATAATCATGAAATCATGTTAGTGTGGTTGAGTTTAAAAAAACGTTAAAGACTTGATACTATTTGGTATTTGACTTTGTATTTATTTTGTCAATTTGTTCTCCATTGTTTGTTCAAGTGTGTGAGTGACAACAATTATAACTACATGTACACCTTTATCAGTACTTCTCTGCTTTCATCGGTAAATTTAAATTTTGTCATTTATTTAAGTGTGAAAGATGTACTAAGATTTATTGTAACCTTGTATTTAACAAATCGAAAGCCCATATTTTTTCCTTACAATTTTTGGTGAGAAACCATTATATATGGTAATTAATGCCTAATTAATCACAGGCCTGTGTATCTTGTTATTATGATGCCACATGAGATGTATGAAGGGAACATTGTTATTTATCATGTTGTGGTGAAAATGTCCGTCCAGTTGTTTATATAACATATCTCTGTACCATGTGTCTTTTTCTCACTTTTTAATTTCCAGGTTATGTATATACTCATTTTAACTGTGGAAACAATTGTTTGACTTAGATTTATAGGAATTTTACAGAGGAAAGATGTGCAAAGGATTAATAGAAACTTTCATACCTTTGAAATAGGGGTCTCAAATCAAGGGGAAAGATTATAGAGTTAAAAAATAAATGTCAAGCTTGCTGGATGTTTGCAACATAATAATCTTTTCCCAAGAGTACAGATTTCCCTACCTTGCCAACTTTTGGGTGGATGATTTTTTTTTCTCTTACCCTGCTGGCCTTCTAAGGTATCATTTCATTGTCCCAATGCTTTGTATTGTTATTATATTATCAATATAAAAGGGGATTCCCCTACTATCAACCCTAGGGCGAGACAAAGAAATCAGACTCAAATAAAAGCAGCGATAAATCTGTCTGTGTAAGAGAAATTGAAATCTCTTTTTGGAATGTAACACATCATGACTGGGTATACTCGGTTGAAGATCTGCATATTTATTTACACATTAAATATATATATTGTTTGCACTCACAGCATGTGAATTTGAATTACTGAGGACATAATGTCTGTCAGAAAGCATATTCTGAAATATCGAGCCAATTTTGTATTGGTCTAAGGTGAGAAATGGTTGTGATACTCTAAGCAAAGCTAACACACATATTTATCACAGAATACGTTTTGACATCAGGTGCAATGTTAACAGGTTTATTGATTTAGAATGAACTAACTTGTAACAGGAAAAAATTTGTTTTAAAAAAATTTTGATAATGTTTTCTCCCTAAGACTACTAAGTTGTAACATACCTTATAAGGAAATAAAATCATTTAAAAGAAGACAAATTTATAGTTTTTTATTGTTTATTTTATTAGCAAAGTCTAAAGGGTGCTTATGCTCTACCCCTGTAATCAAGGTCTCCAATCAGGTCAAGTCGTATCAAAATTAAATTTATTACAAGTGGTAATCAACCTAACTTGCATTGCCAATGTATTGATGATGTGGTATGACCACAGCTAAATTTGACTTCTTATAACTGTATCTTTTTTGGTACATTTTTGTACTGGGGTACATTCTCATTATGTCTTTTCAGTAAATGGTGGTACATATATATGGTGGTGAACTATTCTATTGAGTATTTTGTGGAAAAATATTTCCAAATAAAAGAAGAAATGTACAGAGGACAAAATCATCAAATATGATCAAATCTCTGGTTGACAATATCTTGCTCAAATTTGGCAGTACACTTGAGCTGGAAATCAAATACACCACAGGCCCAACTACATCAGGCCTCTTACTTCAATCTTATTTTAAATTTTACTACAAAGAAACAAAGAGTGATAGCTACTGAGCTCTGAAAATACTGTGAACTGTATGAAAATTTTAAGCATTGTAGGATGACAATGGCAACAAGCTTAAAAGTAAGTTAATGTAAATTTATTATGTATTGTTGACCAGTTTTGCCCAGAAATGTGGCTTCCTTAGGACACTCAAGTAAGAAAATTTTCTCTTAAAGTACCGAAAAGGATTGCCTAATTTTGAATACTGAAATAAATTCCTATTTACTTACTCCAAGCATGTTGCGATTGTCATCATACTTAACCGGTCCCTGTTTTCCAACCGCTCTGCATACCAGGTAGGTATCCAAGCAAGGAGTCACTTGAATATCCTGAACCAGTATGAAAACAATGGCTTTGGCTCCATTTCTTTGGTTATATGCTTAGTTGTCTATTACGGAACCCCTGCATCTACTATGGATCCGCAGAAGGAACAACCGAGTTGAATTGGACCATTTCTTACAAACGAACATGACCGAGAAAGACACTAACAGTTTATCATTCAGATTCCCAACTAGTAACGACAAGGAGAACTATAGCCAAGGACTAACAAGGTAACACAAAGCCAGACATTCCCCATGCCCTCCTATTTAAAATAAATACACATAACCATATATATGTATAATGTTAATATTAGAAAAAGTTTATTTTTTTATTTGTTATTTTTACTTTACCCATACAAAGTATTTAAATGGAGAACGTCTACTAGAGTACTAGCTTGATGCTTGTACAAAGGTTTGATTACTGGGTAATAACCTTGAATAATCTAAGAGGCCTACCTGTTTCCATGGTAACAGAAAAATTATTTAAAAGGAGAACTTCTCCATAGCAAAAGATACTTACTAGCTTAGTATGTGTTAAAAGTTTTGAGCACTAGTTCGGCAAGACTGTGACCCCCTTTATCAACGTCACAATATTTGTTTTCCCAAATTTTGAGTAACAAAAATGTCCTGAACCAGTATGAAAGCAACCACATTGACTCCAATTCTTGGGTTGTAAAATTAAAACATGATTTTAATTTCCTAATAGTGAATTTACATCATTTCTGGACAGCAAAAGTCTTGCTTCTTCAGCCTATAGTGTTTACATGTCGCAGTTTATTCAATATTCAAGGGCTTGTTCTCAATATGATGATTTTGGTCCAAATTAAATATGTTGACAACTGTCACATAAATTCACAACACAGGGTTTATCAAGAGATGCTGGATACGTTGTTCATAATGGATTGACAAAGATTTTTCTAGTGGATTGCTGATGAAGCAGAAGACGTTTACCCTTCTGGAACACCTGGTCTTATTTTACATATAAAGTGTAGTACTTTTGCAGGTGTCTCCATGCAAATCATGATGCTCATATCTTTTCTAGTTTCATTAACTTTGAGGTTGAGTTAAGATTCTGTCAACATATTGTTACTTCCTTTGGTGTTTTTGATCAGGGAAATACAACAGATAGAAGTCTGTCTACATCTCTTTGTTACCATTTTGTCATTTTTCTGTAAAAGTGCATAATACTTTTTTTTATTTTTTTTTTAAAGTCAGTGGTGGAAAACTGTGCTCAGTAAAACACAACATCTGTTGAAAACTTAATGAGAAAACATGCAGAAAAAATTTAACTTTCCCAAATTTGTAAACTGCAAATGCACTTCAGGAAAACACATTTTTCATGACATGGTGATTAAGCCTACCCAGCTTGTTGACAACTGAGACAGGAAATTTCTGTATTTATTCTGTATTTATATATTTATATGATGAATAAACAAGAGGCAGTAACTCTGACGGCCTCCTGGAATGTGCAAGAGCATGTTTTTGGGAGGCTGTGATATGTAGGATTCAGTCTCCATGTATCTTGAGATCTTCACACAACTTCATGTCAAGGTGATTGAAAATGGTCAGTTGAATAGTATGGAAAAAACATCTCTTGGCAACCAGAGGTTTAAGACAGCCATCTCCTGTCAAAATTTTTGACAGGCATATGAAAAAACATCACTAGAACCCAGGGAAAGAACTTTGTTCTGTTCCATTGAAAAATTCCTTAATCTTTTTATGAGAAGCTGCAGTGATAAGCTTAAAAAACACAACATGGACATAATATTGTAATACCATTATTTTTTGTAGGGAAATTTATTTTTGCTGAAATGGTGGGTACTCTGAATTTATATTTCCACAAAATAATCAACTGATGAAAGTTAACATGGATTACAGTACTAGCAGATTTCAGGAAAACCACGCCACATAAATTCAAATCATTCTTAAAAATCAATAATAAAAAGCTTGTCAAGTCAGTAGTATAAATCTGATAAAATCCAGAACATAGCAGGCACATGTACAACAAAAATCATTAAAAACATATACAAAATGTGTATATTGATATGTAATTTGATGCTTTTTGATATTTGCATTTTGTTATGGGTGAGTGTGCATGTGTTTCGTCTGGTAAATGTATTGTGATGAAAAATATTCAATCAATAATCTAGCAAAAAAAAATACAAATTTATTTCACTTCAAAAATCCCTAAGTAGTTGTCATGTCATCAATCACTAAATGTGAAATGCACAACAAGGATCCATGAAAATGTCTTTCTTTAGAAATGTAAGTTACTGGAAACACCGTAAAAATCTACCAGTTGGCAAAATTTGAAATTTTAACCTTGATTTCATCTTATCCCGTTTTTGTTCTCAAGAAGTTGTTGTTTAGATGGAGATGCACAATGTTAGAGGAATACTTGTTTTAACAAATGTCAGTCATATTTGTCCAAGACATGTACTCTATATAGATATTTCTGGGAATGAGGTAGCTTTGACCTTGCATGTGTGTTTCAGCATCTTTCAAAGACATACCATATTTATCTGGCAATAAGCCCATGCCTGGTAACAGACCGACCTATATATATCACTGTTCAGTATGATAATGAAATAATGCTATTTCACGGTTTTGTAATCAGTCTATCCCCTGACTCTGAATATGAATAAATTATTTCCCCTACCCTATATCTAAAGTACTGCGGGACATATATCTAGTATATGTTTATAATGTCTTTAATAGATAACATGGAACAGATTGATGGTTCACCAAACAAATACCAGCTTTAACTAACAGACAAAAAAGGCACAAAGCAGTTGTTTTTAATCAAAGTGTTTATATTTACTAGGAAATGCTATCTACATGGTTCAATTGAAACAGGGTCAAATGTCATACATAAAGCCCTCCAACAAAAACACAATTTTTACCCATTTTTTTTATAATCCATGTTCTTTTCGTTTTTCTTTGCCTTTTAATATAGCCTGTTTGAAAAGGCTACAATACAGTTCAATGGATGTTAATGTATCATCATTTCCTGGAACAGGGTAAGTGATGATCCTTGGATCCGAGTTGGTATCCACTATTCCTATCGTAGGAATCATCATCTTCGCACTTTCAACGATGGCAGTATGTTGTTCAAATACAGTGTTTGATGTACTGAGGAAAATACAAGTGTCAGGCAGACGTGTGACAGAGCCAAACTGCTGTATAGCATTGGTAAAGGTTCCGCCCCGCCAGTATCTACAGTGACTGTACTCGCCTGCTTCCTCTGCTGTCTTCTCCACCAAGGGCATACTCAATGCCTGTCTTGTAAGGAATAAAATGACACCTCCTCTATATGCTATGTGTGCTAGAAAATTTAATGCTATTTCCATGTTATCGACTGTCTGTTTAAGATCCAAAATATCAACTCCCATCCTGCTACCATATATGTAGGGCACCATGTATTCATTACGAACTCCTGATTTATGACCATAATGAACACCTGCTTCAAAAAGTTCCTCCACTTTTATCAATTTTTTCACATCAAAGTAGTCATCATGCTTTAATGGATTGTCAATAATTTTGTCTGAAAAAAAAATAGTAAATTTGAAACAAGAAATCAAAAAAAAAAACAAAAAAACACCAGTACTTAATACATCAAATAAAATCAATTGGAACCATACAAAGATTTTTTTTATCTTTTGGACAGAAACATGCCTCAGTAAGTTTTCATAACAAGTACGGTATATTGCATTGAATGCAAATAAGTTTGAGATGTGTTTCATCTTTGCTACAGCCAAGGTCATTTGTAGATGACGGAATCATTTATGGACACTTTTAGAGTGCCATCACACTGTCCTAACTGCTCATTCAAAGCTGAATACAAAGCAGAGAGCAGTAAGTACATGCCTAAATCAGGGGACAGAACTCCTACTCTTCTTTGATTTAGAAAGTGGATGCTCATTATCAACACAAAAGACACAAAGCAAGGTATAGCCTTGTTATGCTTTAAGGTTCAATCAGAGAAAACAAAAGATCCCTGAGGATTCAGGGAGTACTTCTCCAGAAATGACAATAACAAGAATTATTAATGAACAGAGGGACAGATGATGGACTGTGACAAAGGAAATTTTGAACAGCCCACCATCTGATGATTCATGTAAAGGAAACAGTGATTACATTCTGTACATGCATGCCCTATCTCTATATTCAAGGCAGGAATGAATTTGAGATTCTCTTGATGATGTCAACATTTATTCATGCTGTCTGTAATGTCATGACATGTTTTCTTCAATATTCATTCAGCAATAAACCTATGTCCATGCATCTCATAATCCTTTAGTAAGTGTATCAACTCATTCAGAATTAGTATGTTAGCTCTGTTCTCTTGACTTACACAGCACAAATAAGGTACATATCAATATACTATTTTTGCAACTTCATGGATATATATAGATGTACCACAATTATATAGCCCAAGTTTTTTCGGACATACACCAAACATCTCTTTACAGGGCTCAACAGCAGATTCTTCACTATTCCAACAGACATGTACAGCATGCAGGAATCTCTGTTACAATGTCTAACTTCTGGTATTGAGGCAAGAGAAAACTCAGGTTGAGAGAAAACTCAGGTTAATTACTCAACTATTAAGTGATATTCATCACATGATTAAAAAATTACTGTTGTGATTACAAACATTGTACCAAATATCTGCCACTATGATAATATACATTCTTTCAACATGTAGGATTTTTCATTCACATATAATACATTGTATCAGGTAATTCTCAACCTATCAAATTTCTTAGAGGTTGACCAGAAACAAAATTTTAAAATTCAGAGCATTTTAAAAATACACTGTAAATCAATTAATAACATAAATTACATATAGACACAAGTAGATACACACTTCCTCATGGTTTATTTGGAGAAAGGAAACACAAACCAGCCATTCTTCCATTAACATTATCACTATTAGTGACAACAACAGCTTAAAAATTTCAGCGTGACACCCTTAAACCCCATCCCTGTAACCTTGTCAAGATCATTTTGTTACCTTGGTTATCAGCTTCTTGTGTCAGTGGAATCTGTTGCTTTACTTGGTTGGCACAGAACAGTCTGCGACTGCCCTGGCAAGTAATTGGAGAGTCCCATGAAACTTTGTTTGACCTCCTCCTCACGAGAGACTGTACTGGACAACTTGCAGCTTTGGGGTCTAGTAGACAAAATCAAAAGTCATGACACTTACCCTGCTAAATATGTACATATATAATAATCTTCTGGGTAATGTTCAGTACTTGAAATCTTAAAGGCCCCTCCAGCAGAAAAGTAACCTATTAATAACTAGGTACAATCACATAACCATTAATTTGCACAAACATAATGTACATAAATATTCTATTTGTTTTCTCATGTAAATCAAAGAATTGGGAGCTCTATTATAAATGTTAATTGTTAATGTACAATGAAAATAGGAGGAATTTTATCCGATACATATTCATGAATCTTAGAACCATATTATGTAAAGCCAGTGCCAGACGCTAAATGCTCTATGTGAATTGCTTTATACCAAATATTGAATGCAAAATGCTTCATGTAAACTGCTTTAATTTTGATTTCAAGATGACCTCAAGTCATAAGAAAACATCTGTCTCTTTGCACGTAATAAATGTTAAGATAACTTATGTTGCCATACTGACAATATATAAATGTTAGATAACTTATGTTGCCATACTGACAATATATAATTGTGAAGAGTTGTTTCCATTTATTATGTTTGGGAAATTCTACATAATTGAATACTTAATGCTTTATTTTGAATCCGTACTGTGATATGCTTCATGCAAAATGTTTACAATGTAAAGAACTTTTTTATGAAGCAGGCCAAATAATTTGAAATGCTGAATGCTCTACAGGCAACCATGGATGATGGGCACTAGTCCTGCAGATGAGGGAAAGTTACAGCTTTGATTAATCAATTAGTTACTCAAATGCAGGGTAATTTTGAAATGGAAACACATGTTACAGGAGCCAAAAAATGCATGACCAGACCGGGTTCAAAACCAAGACCTTCCAAACTCTAGACAGATGCTCTGCCTACTGAGCTAACTGGTTGCTGACAATTGATCCCGTCCAGTTCAATTACACACATTGAGTTCCAACTTCATTGTTTATCAACTATGTTTTAGAGAACACATGTAAATTCATGCTCATCTATGACATTTACACTAAATGCTCCCATTGGCATTATACACTGCAGTCAATGGAGAACAGAGTATGTAAATAAATTGTACACTATTGGGTAACAGAAATTAATATTTCTAATGCTACAGGTTTGGCATAGCTCATCTATTATTTGTAGCTCTACGATCCCTGATAAAATTACTTCATAATCAATACATTTCAAAGTAAGTATTTCGCATAAGGGGTTCGCATTAAACAATTTGTATGAAGTATTTCGCATTCAGCATTTCGCACGAAACAATTTGCATGTTGTAACGGCTTCCATATTTTATAAACAAGTGGTCAAAGTTGGTTGGTTGATAGGTTTTCCGTCTCCACGCTCCTCCCGTTGTCGTTATCGTCTCACCAACGAACGTAAGTGGTCAGTGTGTGGTCAAAACGTTTGGACAGTAAATTATATTACTACAGGATTCACTTATTAGGACAGAAACAAGTTTGAGACCGTGAGGATCAGTAACTGTTGCATGAAAAAAAGTAAGATCATAAAAATAAGATTATAATGTGTATATCCAAAACGTACCTGATATCTTATTGATCAGCCTATTTCTAGCTAATGTCACGACTTTGCCTCTGAGCGCAGCCATGTTGTTTGCAAACCGGATATACAATTTTCAAGTGGCGCGTTCGTACAAGTACCGTGGTAGTGCATCATGTCGCTTTCGTTAATATGGTTGAGCCGTTCCAGGTGGGACAGAAATATTCGGCATTCCTCTTAAATAACAATATTTAATAAAATTACAATGATGTAACAACTAAAACGTTGCATATTTTATTGTGAATCCATTTTCGTCAAAAATGTAATGAGTAACTAAGCATAAGCGTGGAAATTATTTTTACTATTATTTTCGCTATTTTCGTTGGAATGTCATTCTAGGCCCTTATTGTCTGTCAAGCTTATCGCTATACAAATTGATAAAAAAGGCCGATTTAACATCGGAATATTTCCGACCATTTCACCCTAGCTTGCTTCAGACCAAATTTGGACAGAGAGCATCATCTCAACAGAAGAAGGATTTTAAAACCTTTCTCTATTTCCGCAATTTGGCCCTGGACAGCCCCCTCAGACCCCGGGAGCTGGACCCTCCATTTATACTGAATTGTTTCTCCTTCACCCTAGGATACTTCAGACTAATGTCAAATAAGGACATTGTTCAAAGATACCTTCATAACAGAAGATTTGAAAATACAGGGTCCGCGATCCACCGTTTACTTCCCTTCACAAAAATATATTTCAGACCAATACAACTTTGGAGAAAGCCCAGTCATTTCCGCGGATATAGGACGTTTAGTTTGCCGAGTTTCTCCCTTTGTGCTAGGCCCCTAGAGGTCGAGACCTGCCATTCAAACCAACCAATCTAATGGAAACATACGACCGCCATACTCATGATTTCTATAACTCTGTATTTCTATGTTTTGTTTACATTTTTCAATTTTCATGTTTCAAATTGTCTATTTTCCGATGTTTATATCAGTATTCGCATATTGCAAATGTTACAAATCTATTTTTGTACACATAAGTTTATATATTTCTATGCTAGTATTCAAGTATTTTTCATTTTTTCCGTTTAGAATATTGTATCTTCGAACTTATTTCTTTTCGTTTTTAAATCACTGTGTTGTGTTCCAACTGAATGAAGTCCCAACTATGAAGATACTTGTTGTAAAAACAGTAGTTAACCTGTATTTTGACACTAAAAAGCTACGTTCTCAACTGAACATGACTGACAGTGAGGTACCACAAGTGGTACTACACGGTGTTCCTTACCCCCATATCAATCAACTTCAGGTAAGCTCTGTTGCACAATACACACAACATTAACGAGTTAATTAAAGTGATCGTATAGTGTTTATTATCTTACAAGTCATGTCGCTGTACATAGTCCATACATCATGTACGCCTCACTCTCAGGCCACGCTCCCCGAGAGCGTCCGGTCAGCTCTCCCACTCTCGAATTGTACCCTCTGAGAGCCCTATCTCAAAAGCTTCCAGACCCTAGTCTGTCTACCTAATATCCCCCAAAACATAGCGAGAACAGAGAGAAGAACATGTGTCTAATTGTTGATGTTATTGACCATCGGTATCTAATTGATGCAATTATTGACCATCAATCTCCATGAATGACAATAAACACTCCGCTCAAACTCGCGGACTCGAGAATATAATTAATAAATTCAAATTTCATCTTATTAACCTGCCAGTGACCAATACTATAAGAGAGATAAATAGACTACGCCACTGTTAAACTATCAAACCTCTCAACCCAATATTGAGATTGATGCATGTGAACGTCCATTTGGAATTTAGAGAATCTATATTTGATATAATTATCCTTCTCTCTGCTTAACTGTAACAGTACATTGAACTTCTAACTTATCTAAAACATGTTCCAATATATGAAGAAAATATAATCAATATAATCCCTCCACCACAAAGATATATAATTAACTAACACTGATTACCACCAATTAATTATCTTAAAATAATTAATTATCTTAATTTTACGGCTATTTTGTCACAGCTCTTTCGTTGTCTACGTTATTATAGAACTAGTTTTTTGACACACAAGGATAGTACCTTGTCCCGTAATTCGCTCATTGTATAGTATACGTATGATAGTGCTCGCCTTGTATGGTGGGATATCATTCCTCCTTTGCGTTCTGTATTCTTCGCTTCAAAACGACAGTGGCTGATGAACCCAACAAACAACAAAGAACTTGGTTATGTTAAAATATCTTTCACCAAATCATTATATTGACATGTGATATGTGAAGACAGAAAAATTGTGCGAATATGTCTGACATCATCAATTAAATCGAACACAATGCATCTAACATTTTACTTCCGACAGGCTTTACGTTGAAGCTACCATCGTTGTTCACTTTTCCGAGAAAGGCATATCTGAATTCCCCGGACTCTTTTCGGACTTTCTCTTCAGGCACATCGGTCGTTTGTTTAATGACACATCACGTATCAGATTGATAAACAAACTGTATTCTTCCGTGTGGTTATACACGTTAGCAGAAAGACGGACATAAAGGTTGTCAAGGACACAGAATATTTGTACTTGTATATCGTGTTCATAAAATAGATCGTCCATCAGACGGTAAGCTTCGGCCTGTAACATAACATAAACATCAAAACAATACGCTGTCTAATACATGGTTCACTTCGGCATTTCACATAACATGAACACAAAAAAGCTGTCCAACACACGGTTCACTTCGGCATGTATCATAACATAAACATCAAAACAATAAGCTGTCCAACACACGGTTCACCTCGGCCTGTAACATAACACAAACATCAAAACAATAAGCTGTCCAACACACGGTTCACTTCGGCCTGTGACATAAACATCAAAACAAGAAGCTGTCCAACACACAGTTCACTTCGGCCTGTGACATAACATAAACATCCAAACAATAAGCTATCCAACACACGGGACACTTCGGCCTGTGACATAAACATCAAAACAATAAGCTGTCCAACACACGGTTCAATTCGGCCTTTAACATAACATAAACATCAAAACAATAAGCTATCTAACACACGGTTCACTCTGGCCTGTATCATAACATAAACATCAAAACAATAAGCTGTCCAACACACGGTTCACTTCGGCCTGTAACATAACATAAACATCAAAACAATAAGCTGTCCAACACACGGTTCACTTCGGCCTGTAACATAACATAAACATCAAAACAATAAGCTGTCCAACACACGGTTCACTTTGGCCTGTGACATAACATAAACATCAAAACAATAAGCTGTCCAACACACTGTTCACTTCGGCCTGTAACATAACATAAACATCAAAACAATAAGCTGTCCAACACACGGTTCACTTCGGCCTGTGACATAACATAAACATCCAAACTATAAGCTATCCAACACACGGTTCACTTCGGCCTGTAACATAACATAAACATCAAAACAATAAGCTGTCCAACACACGGTTCACTTCGGCCTGTGACATAAACATCAAAACAATAAGCTGTCCAACACACGGTTCACTTCGGCCTGTAACATAACATAAACATCAAAACAATAAGTTGTCCAACACACGGTTCACTTCGGCCTGTAACATAACATAAACATCAAAACAATAAGCTGTCCAACACACGGTTCACTTCGGCCTGTGACATAAACATCAAAACAAGAAGCTGTCCAACACACAGTTCACTTCGGCCTGTGACATAACATAAACATCCAAACAATAAGCTATCCAACACACGGGACACTTCGGCCTGTGACATAAACATCAAAACAATAAGCTGTCCAACACACGGTTCAATTCGGCCTTTAACATAACATAAACATCAAAACAATAAGCTATCTAACACACGGTTCACTCTGGCCTGTATCATAACATAAACATCAAAACAATACGCTGTCTAATACATGGTTTACTTCGGCCTGTAACATAACATAAATATCAAAACAATACGCTCTCTAATACATTGTTCACTTCGGCATTTAACATAACATGAACACAAAAAAGCTGTCCAACACACGGTTCACTTCGGCATGTATCATAACATAAACATCAAAACAATAAGCTGTCCAACACACGGTTCACCTCGGCCTGTAACATAACATAAACATCAAAACAATAAGTTGTCCAACACACGGTTCACTTCGGCCTGTAACATAACATAAACATCAAAACAATAAGCTGTCCAACACACGGTTCACTTCGGCCTGTGACATAAACATCAAAACAATAAGCTGTCGAACACACGGTTCACTTCGGCCTGTAACATAACATAAACATCAAAACAATAAGCTGTCTGACACACGGTTCACTTCGGCCTGTAACATAACATAAACATCAAAACAATAAGCTGTCCAACATACGGTTCACTTCGGCCTGTAACATAACATAAACATCAAAACAATAAGCTGTCCAACATACGGTTCCCTTCGGCCTGTAACATAACATAAACATCAAAACAATAAGCTGTCCAACACACGGTTCACTTCGGCCTGTAACATAACATAAACATCAAAACAATAAGCTGTCCAACACACGGTTCACTTCGGCCTGTGACATAAACATCAAAACATTAAGCTGTCCAACACACGGTTCACTTCGTCCTGTAACATAACATAAACATCAAAAGAATAAGCTGTCTGACACACGGTTCACTGCGGCCTGTGACATAAACATCAAAACAATAAGCTGTCCAACACACGGTTCACTTCGGTCTGTGACATAAACATCAAAACAATAAGCTGTCCAACACGCGGTTCACTTCGGCCTGTGACATAAACATCAAAACAATAAGCTATCCAACACACGGTTCACTTCGGCCTGTTACATAACATAAACATCAAAACAATAAGCTATCTGACACACGGTTTACCTAGGCCAGTGTCATAACATAAACATCAAAACAATAAGCTGTCCAACACACGGTTCACTTCGGCCTGTAACATAACATAAACATCAAAACAATAAACTGTCCAACACACGGTTCACTTCGGCCTGTGACATAAACATCAAAACAAGAAGCTGTCCAACACACGGTTCACTTCGGCCTGTGACATAAACATCAAAACAAGAAGCTGTCCAACAAACGGTTCACTTCGGCCTGTGACATAACGTAAACATCCAAACTATAAGCTATCCAACACACGGTTCACTTCGGCCTGTAACATAACATAAACATCAAAACAATAAGCTGTCCAACACACGGTTCACTTCGGCCTGTGACATAAACATCAAAACAAGAAGCTGTCCAACAAACGGTTCACTTCGGCCTGTGACATAACGTAAACATCCAAACTATAAGCTATCCAACACACGGTTCACTTCGGCCTGTAACATAACATAAACATCAAAACAATAAGCTGTCCAACACACGGTTCACTTCGGCCTGTGACATAAACATCAAAACAAGAAGCTGTCCAACAAACGGTTCACTTCGGCCTGTGACATAACGTAAACATCCAAACTATAAGCTATCCAACACACGGTTCACTTCGGCCTGTAACATAACATAAACATCAAAACAATAAGCTGTCCAACACACGGTTCACTTCGGTCTGTGACATAAACATCAAAACAATAAGCTGTCCAACGCACGGTTCACTTCGGCCTGTAACATAACATAAACATCAAAACAATAAGCTGTCCAACACACGGTTCACTTCGGCCTGTAACATAACACAAACATCAAAACAATCAGCTGTCCAACACACGGTTCACTTCGGCCTGTAACATAACATGAACATAAAAAGCTATCCAACACACGGTTCACCTCGGCCTGTAACATAACATGAACATCAAAACAATAAGCTGTCCAACACACGGTTCACTTCGGCCTGTGACACAACATAAACATCAAAACAATAAGCTGTCTATTAGGCCTTCAAAACAACATAAAATACATCAGTTCTAAACTCAACAATAAGTCTTACATCAAACCTTCAATCTCAACAAGTCGTGCAACAGGACGAACATATGACACAGTACTAACTACATATGAAGAAAGCACAGCTGTAGTAACCAACACATACGTACCGTCGTTACGTCGTATAGGTCCATATGCGGCAATCTGATCATTTTCATACACGGTGCTTCCATGTCCCGAGGGATAGGTAATTTGCCAGTACCCCATTCCGTCACCATCCTGTCAGTTACGAGGTCCAATAGAGAGGAGTTGTACCCAGTTATGGCAGTCTGGCAAAAGCAAAGGAAATTTCGATTATATGCTAAATATATAGTGTAACAGTAGAAATTTTGTCAAGATGGAATGGAATATTTTTTTTCAATCCTACCATTCCTCCGAGGTCCTCGTAGAATTTAAGAGCGTCTGTCACAGTTACATAAGCACAATCGTCACGTGTTCCCTGCATGAAGAATTCCATGGTAAACTCTTTCAGATAATACCACGAGGTGACTAATGGCCGAATCCAGGCGTGGTGTTCTCTCCTCACATACAAGAGAGCGCATCCTCTTGGTGTATACGCCCACTTATGTAGATTACCTGAAAATTTAATAATATTGACACATACATCATAGCTGCAATTAGTCCGAAGGATTCCGACTATCTATCCGCGAATTTATTTTCGTCTTGGTCGCAATCGATATTCAGAATTCAGAATACAAAAAAAACATTGGCTCGGGCCGGAGTTGGAATCCAGGCAGTTTTTTAAATTTAGTTTATAACAGCATGATAGTTACAAATCATATATCAATTGAAATGTAAAACCTTTTTCAGCGAACTTGCATATGTGTTATGGCAAGCAATTTAATGACGAAAGCTGAGAATATCTCTAGATAGATTTGTTCTTGTCAACCTACCAAGAGTAAGCTCTCGCGAGATTGGCGGAAATATTAGGTTTACAAAAATAAGTCTAGAGAAAATCCGAACAGATTTTTCCCAATATGGCGGTCATTGTGGTGATAAACTGAACATATTACTATTTAAAGGGAAAAAATGGGCATGACTGGTTTTATATAAGCCTGGTTTATGGATTGATGTTCACATGGATACGTTTCCATAAAGTTATGTTTACATGTCAGAGGAGAATGTCTGCAGCGCAGTATTTGGTGGTGAAATGAACCCATAGTATCTTGTAACTTAGACACTTTATAAGGATAATCTGACTTACTGACCTGTGTAAAAGTCGGGATCCAGGTCCTTTAAATCGATAGGTACTTGCCCAGGCGCATGCGCACCATCTATCATGGACATGACATCATGTTCTCGACACAACTTGATGATTTTCTTAATAGGCATGACAACGGCGGTGGAGCTTGTAATGTGATCTATGGCGACAAAAATAATTTTTAAAGTCTCAAAACCTCAAATTCAAAATGACTGTAAATACAAGGACACTTTTCGGACACGAAATGTAATCAAATGCTAGTATTCTCGGAAGAAATTGATGTATACATGTGAAATTTCGCAAACGAACTTTGTCCCGGAAGGATAAGAAAATTGGACTTACCTATAACTGCCAGCCGCACGTGCGGATGTGATGAGAGGAACTGCCTGTACTGTTCCACTACGTCATCCTCCGAGATTATAGGGTAGTTGATGTCCATTTTGTAATACTGTGATCCTGAAATTGTCACGTCATTTAGACCATTCTAAGGTAACCATGTCCTTTGTGTTCGTACTTACATGTTGAAATTTCGTTTAATTTTATAGAGTTTCACATGGAAAATGCTTCCTTATTGGAAGTCGTTATGAATAGGTTTATAGCTCGTTGTAAAAATGTATTGTTTGAAACTAATTAAATAATGTTGATAATTTAATTATGACATCCACTTTTTCTTTAAAGAAAGATTTATTTTCCGTATTGTCAAAGAAGTATTCTGAATATATGACACCGCTAACGATACCACTATTGGCTGCTTTCGCGTGTTCGCACGTAAACTGAATTGCCGGATATGTGTTGTCTGTCGCTAGGATAGCATCATTCTCTTTAAAGTTTATCGACTTCAGTACAGTATTGACCCCTGAAAAACATATATACGTATGTCATAAATATTTAGGAACGTGTGATAATACAAAGCCCATTGTGAAGAAAATTATGACCTTTTAATTCTAGCAATTACACATCAGTAAATATTTTACAATAACCTTTGAGCTGATGTTATAGAGAATCAACACAAAAACAATGATCACAACGATTGTATTGTGACCTTTGACCTGTTTTGGATGATGAGTAATTACTCTCACCTGTAGTTGCGTTCTGTACAAGGACAACATCTTCTGAATCGGCGTTCACAAACGCGGCAATAGCGTCCCTCCCTTCCTTCCATTTACCGAGGTTGTTCCGACGGAACCAGTCGTCTGGGTGATCATCCATCTTGTCAATGTAGCTAAACATCCACATCAAATTACAAATTAATCGCTTAAAACCACATTTACGTTTGACTGAAATAATTCCTAGAATTCAAGAGGAGACAAATTCAAATATACTTCTATCTCATAATATATGTGACAGAGTAAAATAGGGTCGGTAGGTTGGGATTTCTTTTTAAACAATGTTTGCTTGCTCTTAAAACTGACCTCCCAAGTAAGGCATATTGATTACGAAAAGGTTTATACCCATGTGTTTGGTATAAAGGTAGGTATAATTATCGCATATGTATATTATAAAATGTTTAATCCGAAGGGTTCCGACTATCTATCCGCGATTATTTTTGTCTTGGTCGCGGGCGGTAGTCAAAATTCCTTCCTTAAGAAAAACGGGGTTCTAAGGCTCGGGCCTGGGTCGGCATTCAGGCAATATTTGATATAGTTTACAACAGCGTGATGTTACAGATCATACATCTATTGAAATATAAAACACTTTTCTAAATTGTACTAACTTGCATATGTGTGAAAAAATGGATTTCAATTAATTTTCCCAACAATTTTACTTTCTGACATGGTTGCCAATACACGGATTCTCTCTAGACTTGATTCTGCAAATCTACCGTTTCCGCCAATCTCGCGAAAGTTATGTTACTATGTTTCAGAAGACAATTCTAGAGAGATTTCGTATAGTGGTAGCCATTGTAGATGTTAGTTTAGTATTCCCAGAAAGGTGTCGAGAGAACGTACCACATCTATCTGTATACATAAGTTTCTAAGTGCTTGACCTCATTCTACTAGTGTTTCTGGAAATCGCAGAAAAAGTGGCAAAATCAACACGGAGAGTAAATCTGTTTTTGCCGAATGTTGAAAAAAATAGGGTCGGTAGTAAAATAAAAGAGACAGTCGGGAAACCGGAAACATGGATATTTGGTTTTTCTTTGTTAACTTAAAGAATAGTTGATTGAGATAAAAAAAATTTACCGTTTCTGAATGTCTTTCACACGTTTCGGTACCGTTCCGAATGAGCCGTGGTTTAAAAACATTGAGCCTTTTCTCATACAGAACTCTTTTTCTCTCATCTCTTGACCAAACGGAGGAAGTGTCATCTCCTCAGATCCCATGGCTGGACAAGATTGAACATAAAACAAAAAACAAGTTAAAATATGTACAATAATATCATCGAGTTAATGCCACCATTTTTGGTGGAGGTGATTGGGGGTGGAGGGGGGGAGGGCTATTGTTGACTCCAGAGGTGAGGGAGCAAATTTAAAAGATAAGTTTTAATAAATACACAAATATTTTAAAACATTGGATGGATGCACAGACCACAGAAAGACACGCACGTTTTACAACAATAGTCGTTTAGTTCATAATATTACAGAATTGTTTTCAAAAACTTAAACAAAGTCACGTAAAATAAGTGATGAGCCGTACATGTATATTAAAAAAAACGATTTTCTCTTCCTTAAGCACGCAGTGTTACATAAATATCTAGTTGTTATATTACTTCCGGATGTTTATCATATAAACAGACATAACATTAAAACACGCATGGACGCTGTAATCATAAGGATTAAGAATAGAAATAGACGTTTGTAAGCCAGCGAAGCTCAAATATGACATAGGTGTAGGGACATACATTTGACATTTGAAATGCTGCAGTAGGTTAGGTAATAGAAAATACTCCGGACATTCTGAAAAGACGCTTGTTTATTATAGACACGTAAAGATTGTCTCTTAAACCCGCCATGTTAACGATTTTGTATACAATAGATCAATCTCCCCTTACACCGTCTCATTAACGATTACGTCTACAGCAGATCAATCCCCCCCTTACACCGTCTCATTAACGATTACGTCTACAGCAGATCAATCTCCCCTTACACCGTCACATTAACGATTACGTCTACAGCAGATCAATCTCCCCTTACACCGTCTCATTAACGATTACGTCTACAAGAGATAAATCTCCCATTACACCGTCACATTAACGATTACGTCTACAGCAGATCAATCTCCCCTTACACCGTCTCATTAACGATTACGTCCACAGCAGATCAATCTCCCCTTACACCGTCACATTAACGATTACGTCCTCAGCAGATCAATCTCCCCTTACACCGTCACATTAACGATTACGTCTACAGCAGATAAATCTCCCCTTACACCGTCACATTAACGATTACGTCTACAGCTGTGCTCGTATCATTATAACCAGGGACGTATAATATCCTGTTATAAACCATAATCAGATGGTAACATTATGACAATCGTCTCACCGACAGGTAATGATAAAAACACGCATGTGTACACTTCAAATAAATATTTTAATTTTCAACACTCAAACTTTAATTTGAAACAATTTGCGTTACAAAAACGTCATCACTTGGCGTTGCCTGCTTGGATTCAAATTGTTCTACTCCAGCGATAAAACAAGGAGAAAAGCATAGTGATGACGTAAAATTGTTTTAAATCGCAGGAATCCAGGTGTCGCTATCGTGATGCTCCACCTGTCGTTGATACCATTGAAGGTCGCTATATTGATTCTGGCTGTCTCTGTTGGAGTCCAGCTTTATTTCTCCGTCTCGTGTGAAGTCTGACGCCTTCAGTTCAATGTTAGGTGGGACCGCGTCTACTGCCAGGGAATCTATGTGTTTGAGCCAGGTATTTAGTCTGTTGAGAGGTGATCTGGCGATAGCGCTGGTCTGTAGAGTAGACAGATCACTGGAGTAATTCATCGGGTACTGCACTTCTGAAAAAGGAGTTAAGAACAAAAATTATACATGACTTTGAAAAGAAAATAGTAAGCAAACATGCGTGTAAATCTAACTTGAAATTAGTAAAAGTTGGACAATTTGAAAAATGGGACTTTATGCTTCGAGAATCACTGACGAGTCCTAGAAAGACGAAACCTCTGTGTGATACAGTTTAATTAATAATTTTGCTCTACTGTAATGATTTAACAATTGTAAAATGTGCTAATACTTGTGTGTCTTCCGTACAGTTTCACTTTTGTGACAAATCACCAGAATAATCTTCAGAAGAACATAATAAAACGTAGACAGAATATGTTAAAAACTGTAGTAAATAGACATCGATTTTGGCTTGTATTTTATTGGATCGCATCTCGTTTTTCTAGGAAACCTACCATTTATTGTATTCTGCACATCGTCTCCAGAACCCGAGAGAGAACCGGAAGTTGTTTCATTGTCACTAAGCCCAGAATCCTGATTTCTGCCACCACATCCTCTGCGGATATTTCTTATTCTTCGACTCCTGGTTTTGCTTCGTTTATTACGGAACCACGAGTGTATCAGCCTGGTTTCAATGCCTGTAAGAGTACTCAGTTTCTGCCGGATGTGACGTGGAGGTCGTGGGTTACTCCTATACGCATGTTCTAATATATCCCTCTGATTATGATTCAGGTTTAACGCGAGTCGTTTACTTGTGTGGCCGTCACCAGTGGAGGTTATGTTTCGGTCCTCTGACGCTATAAATAAACAGAAACATAACCGTAATAATATTTAATAGTAATAAATAGTAACTTTGGTTAGGACCTATACATAAAATGGAGAGTTTCGTACTTAATTCAACTAGATGGAAAAAATATACGTACAAGAAAAAAATGTGTAAAAACAAGACCGCTATCTTCCTCGTTCTTGTGTGTTAAGATGTCAGTAACTTTTGCATCAACGTTTGCATTTTTTACCTTGAGTTGTGATTTTTTGGAGGTCCTGGTCGCATAAAAGCTTATCGTCTTCCCGAATGTAGAATTTATCACCGGTCTGTAATCCAACGCGACACACTGCGCACGCAAAACAGGTCTCGTGATAGATGTTGTTGCCTGCCATTCGAACGGACTCCTCTGGAGCTACCATACCAGAGCATCCAGAACACATTCCGCCAAACCTCCTGTAGATGAAAATTACACAACGGTGATTTAAAACTCAAAAATTGACATATCTTTCATATATGTTTTACGTTATTTCAAGGAATTTAAATGGGTTAACCCGTCAGTACAACTAAGTAAGACACACTATAGCTCATTAGTAAACTGATGTCAGATTTAATGAAAACTACGGGAAAAAGCTGTGACACTAATCTACTGGGGTCAACTGTGTTGGTCACACTTGTTATGACCTAGAGAGCTCACCTGTAAAAGTCAGTTTGACAATAGATGTCGGTCCCGTCAGAAAAACAAACATTCGACACTTCCACGCCACACGCCGTACATCGAACGCATGCGCTGTGCATTACTTCATCTTGCACGCGAACCACTAGTCTGTCGAAGATTGCGTTTCCACATCTACAGCAAGTTGGGGCGCTTACTGTGGAAGGAAATAAAACATTATTTCGATTTATTGTAAACAACATAAAGTCTATTTTTTGTCATCAATCTACTCTATACGATCCAGAAATAAAGACATAAAAGGGTCAAATGTAATACTACGGACAGCTTTAGGCATTAATCTTTGTGGTCATACGAAATGGCATTATATCATATAGACTAAAACATAAATAAAGAACATTGACAGGTAAACATCTGAAATAATGGTGTATACATCCTACAAGCCAAATTTAAAATATTAGTGGGAAACACACAGCTTCAGAATACAGTACATATTTAGTAATATTTTAAAATCTGTTTACCATTCAAAGTTAGCAAACTGATTTTGTATGTTATCGAAAATCCCCTTTTTGAATTTCTGCTGGTTTGGATTTTCTTAAATTTCTTTCAGAATATCGACAAGTTTGGTCCGTTTGGAGAGTCTAAGATGGGTAAAACAGCAGTGTGTTTCTGGTAATTATTGTTAGTCTTCAACATATCCTGTTTCTATTGCTAAATCAGTGACATATCCTGAATTTTGGTAAAGGTGGGGGCCAAAAACATCTTTCCGTCTTTTCAATAAAATGAATAAGCAATGAAAACATTACATCGTTCGCATTCATTTCTCACCTCCATTCCAGTTGTTTCCGACCATGGAAAGTTGCTCCTGAGTTTGGGGGACAGCCAGGTGCTCGTGGGGTATGGCGACTGGCGTGAGATGATGCACCCTGGGGTTTGGGACTGATGTAGATGAGTGTAGCCTTTCCAGTATATCGGGTGATGTACATGTGCCCATCTTACTTATAGTATGGGTAAAAATATAAACGACAGAGAAATCACGCGTCTTCGACACTTGTTTAAATTTTTCCAAAATTCGAGTAGTCCAGGAGTAAAACTTGTCATCCGTCGTTTACGAGATGTGAGTGAGTTATGAAGATTCTCAGAGTGACCTGGCTATTTATCGTGACCTCGTAGACCAAACATTCCAGGTAGAGCCGTATAAATTAAACATATACAGGTATGTAAAGTTAATCAGTTCCTATTATACCATGATTCCGGATAGATTAACGGGGTCATTGTTCAGGTGAACGCGTGAATGTACTTTAGGGTAGATCCGCGACGCCCAGATTGCAGGTAGCATGTCTCAGAAAGGGGTCGGGATTCACCTACAGACGGGTAAATGAGAAAATACGACGGACGTCTGGGGTCAGGTTTTAACAGGTGATCAACCCCCTCGAGTGACTTGCTTGTAGCTGGGGTCAACATTACAGACTTACAGGTAATTCGGCTGACCAGACGGGTAAATATTGTCTAGGATAACGGTAGTTTTAAAAGAATCCAACCTTTGTTTACTTATATTGTTTACAAACTTTCTATAGATATTGATAATGGCGTTGCCTGTTTTTACTCGTTTACTACCGACGTAAATGAAATTCGGTCAGGCAGTCAGACGGTTCAGTGAGAGATAAGACCCAGACAGTGAGATCATACGAAGGACTGTTATATATAATATCTGTTACAATCTTGTGTACTTCTTGATCATAAGAATTCAGAAGAGTTACAGAAAAAGAGGAGGGGCGGGAGGATATCACACAAATTTGAACAATATTGAAAGAAAGAAACTTACAAGGACCCATACACACAGATACACACGGACAAACACATACCTACACATGTTCACATAATAACTTGTTATACAGTTATACATGAATCACCTTTCAATAACATATTAACACATTATTTGTGTGGTTCATTTCACAACTTTAGGCACATAACGATATAATACAGATATTCTTTCGCTCGGTTAGCAATGATTTATGTATTAACACGAAAGCGCGAAAACACGGTGTAAAAAGTCATGCACAACACTATCATAGACAATGCTTATGTATGATCCAAGTTACAACAGGCCACTGTGTGGTAGGATTCTAGTCACAATGACTATGGAGTTAATTCTAAAATCCCCCAGTTATTTTGGCGATAAATCATAGGCGATGATATCACCACAAAGACCATGAAGTCAATGATAATTATGACCCTTTTCCTCTAAATTCAACTTCTTTTAGCAAATCATTGATAAAGGTCCACCTTGTAAAATTCCACGTCTAATAATTACCTTGTCTGACTTAAGACCATTAAGCACAACATTACTGGTTAAACGATAACACATTTGTTTCTTAATATTCCATATTTTCCCTTTTCAATGCCCATATTATAAAGTTTATAAAACAGACTTTCTTGCCATACCGAGTCGAATGCTTTATTACTATGTAGAAAAGCAACAAAGACATCAGATCCATTTTCTGGGTTACAGTTAACACTTTCTTGTAAATTTAAGAATTACAAAAGCTGTTTGGTAATATACATGTTTATAGAATCGGGCTTAGACGAGTAGACAACAGTGTCTCACAGGAGTTTATATAACACCCCTGTAACTATTTAGGTCGTCATTTGGTTAACGATTACCTTTATACAACGTGGTTATCGTGCCAAGTTCCCAGGATTTCAGAATATATTCATAATTAACAATCAGATTGAAAAAAAATAAGTATTATGTGTAGCTAATGAATTGTTACAGTACTTACCATATTCAAACACAATGATCGTCTGGACCACCAGACATTCTTGTCTTAAGATTTTTACATATTTCAGAAACCTCCTTAAAAATGAATTCCTTTTCTATAAACTCTCTACAATCAAAGTTGTACCGTAACAGCGTAACTCGAAGTTCCAATAAATAAACTGAAAATTTGATTTAAATAAATGATTAATAAATAGTTTATCTAGAGTGTATCTCGACATATAGGTGTCCCTGACTGCGATTACTACAAAACGTTGGTATTACTTACGGACGTTGGCCGTAGTAATACTAATACGATACTGTACATCTAACGGGTTTGGATATTTGACAGCGATCATTCTACGTCATGAGCTGGGTAAGGGTAAGACAAGGACAATACATTTGACGGTTTTTAATATCGAACTTTTTTGTTATGACTCCTTAACATGAAAGCAATGAATATTGATTGCTTCACGTATCGGTTGGTAATCAGAAATACCTTCTTCATTTTAAATATGAACTTAATATTACTTTTTCTCCCTAACCTTAGTTTTGTTTACTTCTGTTTATTTGCATTAAAGTCAGAAGTAAAAAGTCCACTGGATTATATTATAATTTTCATCTGAAGATCTGCGACCTGTTAAATGGAAAAATGTTGTACGCCTGAAAGGTAATAAATACCGCTCCAGGGACTGACAAATTACATCTAATTATATCATAAACAATTATGATTTAGTCAATTAGGCGTAGCATTCTATCACTATTGACACCCAATATTATCTTATTTCTGGGCTGATCAACTTCAATCAAAGTGCAGTCCACTCCCTTTTGGTAACGGTTCGGTGATGGCCACCTTGCAATTTAAATGAACTTTTTATTCTGACCTCTGTATTATCATTGTGATCTTTATATCATTATTTTGACCTCTGTATTATTAATATGGTTTTTATATCATTATTTTGACCTCTGTATTATTAATGTGGTCTTTATATTATTATTCTGACCTCTGTATTATTAATGTGGTCTTTATATCATTTTTCTGACCACTGTATTATTAATATGGTTTTTATATCATTATTTTGACCTCTGTATTATTAATGTGGTCTTTATATTATTATTCTGACCTCTGTATTATTAATGTGGTCTTTATATCATTTTTCTGACCACTGTATTATTAATATGGTTTTTATATCATTATTTTGACCTCTGTATTACTAATGTGGTTTTTATATCATTATTTTGACCTCTGTATTATTAATGTGGTCTTTATATTATTATTCTGACCTCTGTATTATTAATGTGGTCTTTATATCATTTTTCTGACCACTGTATTATTAATATGGTTTTTATATCATTATTTTGACCTCTGTATTATTAATATGGTTTTTATATCATTATTTTGACCTCTGTATTATTAATGTGGTCTTTATATTATTATTCTGACCTCTGTATTTTTAATGTGGTTTTTATATCATTATTTTGACCTCTGTAGTATTTATGTGGTCTTTATATCATTATTTTGACCTCTGTATTACCATCGTGGTCTTTATACTGTTATTTTGACCTCTGTATTATCATTGTGATCTTTATATCATTTTTCTAACCTCTGTATTATCATCGTGGTCTTTATACTGTTATTTTGACCTCTGTATTATCATTGTGATCTTTATATCATTTTTCTGACCTCTGTATTATCATCGTGGTCTTTATACTGTTATTTTGACCTCTGTATTATCATTGTGATCTTTATATTGTTATTTTGACCTCTATATTATCATCGTTTTGACCTCTGTATTATCATTGTGATCTTTATATTGTAATTTTGACCTCTGTATTATCATCGTGGTCTTTATATTGTAATTTTGACCTCTGTATTATCATTGTGATCTTTATATTGTAATTTTGACCTCTGTATTATCATCGTGGTCTTTATATTGTTATTTTGACCTTTGTGTTATCATTGTGATCTTTATATTGTTATTTTGACCTTTGTGTTATCATTGTGATCTTTATATTGTTATTTTGACCTCTATATTATCATTGTGATCTTTATATTGTTATTTTGACCTCTATATTATCATTGTGATCTTTATATTGTTATTTTGACCTTTGTGTTATCATTGTGATCTTTATATTGTTATTTTGACCTTTGTGTTATCATTGTGATCTTTATATCATTATCTGACCTTTGTATTAATATTCTTGCCTTTCTTCTACTATTGTGACCTTTCTATTGTAATTCTGACCTTTCTTCTACTATTGTGACCTTTCTATTGTTATTCTGACCTTTCTTCTACTATTGTGACCTTTCTATTGTAACTCTGACTTTTCTACTTTTACTGTGACCTTTCTACTTTTACCGTGACCTTTCTACTTTTACCGTGACCTTTCTATTTTTACCGTGACCTTTCTATTGAATTACTGCTGTGATCTTTCTATTATTATTCTGATGTTTGAGCTTTTAGCGTGACCTTTCTACTTTTACCGTGACCTTTCTATTTTTACCGTGGCCTTTCTACTTTTACCGTGACCTTTCTATTTTTACCGTGACCTTTCTATAACTATTCTGACATTTGAATTACTGCTGTGATCTTTCTATTATTATTCTGACCTTTGAGCTTTTATTGTGATCTTTTAGTACCATTGTGGATTTTTTGGTATAAATTGACAATTTCATTATCTTTCTTATCTCTCAATACAATTTTGACATTTCCAGTATCATAGTAGTATTTCAAATATTATTTTTACCTTTTTAATGTTTTGGACCTTTCTGGTAGTTGTTACCTTTCCACTCTCATTGTGACCTTATTAATATTTGTGACCTTTGAACTCTCATTGTGACCTTTTTAATATGTGTGACATTTTCACTCTTGTCTTGGCATTTACGATACTATTGTGACCTCGCTAGTATGTGACCTTTCTAACATCGTAGAGACATTTCTATTGTCGTTCTGAATTTACTGGTATTGTTGCTATCTCCTGTCATGGGAATTCATATAAAATAGTGTGGCCTTCCACACAGTGTCATGGTGAACTTCTTAGTGTAACTAAATTGGCTCTGAAATGATAAGTTAAATTCGATATTGTGACCTTCCCAGTGTTACAGATAACCCCGACGGTCACTGAGATTTTCCACTCTTACATAACGTCGATGCGACTTGTAGAACCATCCTGTTTACGTATGCTGGCGGAGGTCAACTGAACATGGGGTATTTTACACTTGTATTTACATCTATCTATTATCTCTAACATATATATTATGGATATGTGTGTGTTGCCGTGCGTGTATATATAGGGTAAATATGAGTATTATACAAAAACACGCCCAGCCAGCTGACAGCACAGTGACTGGAGCCACTCCATGCCCGAGTATGCGTGATGTGGCAAATATTATGGAACATCTCCGATGCCTGCCAGTGATGCTAGATTGTTGTTCCGGATACAGACTGATTTTTAGATGAAGAAAGGCAGGACAAGCTTTGTTCCAGGTAGGTTACAAGCTACAGTGTTTAGAGTAGTTTTGTGTTGACAATCACCTTTGTACTATGTCACACGTTGTCGCTTTCACGACCACGTAAAATAACACACGATACACATGATAACCAAGACACCTGTTTACGATCAGCTGACACAGATTTACCTGTTTACGGACGGGAGTCTACTTCTTGGGATTCACAATCTAAGTACACTGCTTCGGCTGGAAATTCTCCATGGAGGTCAGCCCGTCACATATTACAATATAACAGTGATCACATCATGGTACCGACACATACCATAAGTACATTTGTCTCTTATTTAGAGCGTACAAGTACAGATCATGGTACCCTCTTTACTCTCAACAGTCCCTAATGATCTATATGACAGAGATAGCTTTCAATTTATAATTCTTAGTGAGACTATTATTCCGATACCGTTTAATTTTGCACATATTGTTTCAAACCAGCGATGGTATCTGTGTTACACCCTGTTTTCTAGAGTTGATTTTTATATCGTTACATTTCTTCATTAATTCGTTCACATCTCCTTCTATGTTATTTAATCTTGTAATGTCTTAGCCAGTATTCAAATGACTCTTGTCGTTCGTCTGTCAAATGTAAGTGTCCATGCAAAGTTTTCCTTCAAATGATGAAAATGAAGCTGTTTAGAAAGGTTTACTGACCAGATGGCAAGGACGCCGAAGTGGTATATAACCTGACTGCGATATAGGGAGTAACTACAAAAACAAGGTTTTCATGTCAAATTAAATATATATGATACATTTTATTTTGAATGTTTGCATTGATGTACATGTATGTTCAATAAGTATTTTACACTATACCAACACTGTCTATTAATCAATTTCTACTGATGTTTTCAACGTGCGACAAGTACACCAGACAGTGAATACTACACATGTTAGCAGGTCAATGGCTTTTAACTGCCTTAATGTTTTACTGCTGATATCACAACATAGGATTTCCAGTCACTTATGTCTCGAGTGTAAAACCACAACCTCCAAACGTTTAAGTGCATTTGTACGAAGTATATGCACCACATACATCTAGCAAACTACATCGGGTCACAATGAATGTTTGTCCTGTTCTAACACAGGAAAACGAACTTTGACTATTGTTACTATTGACTATTTAAAAGTACAACGGATCTTTTTAAGTCTACAGTGACCGCATGAGCGGCTTTCAAAGAAAAGCTATTTTTTCTTCACTAAAGGGAAATGCTAAAAATAACCAAAAAAAGTCCAACTTGAACCTTATCACACACTATGTCATGAAATTCTGAAGCAATATTGTTCAGTTTTTTTTGTGTGAAAAATATGCACATTTCTGCCATATCTAAATTCGCAAATTATTTACTATAAAATGCCATGAACTACGTCATGAACTACAATCTTGCACAACGACCCAGAAGTATAATTGTGATCTGAAGCCAAATGGACGAAGTATTATGAATTAGCTTCTCCAGTATAGGTCATCAAGGTCATTGGTCAAACTGTCCGTAATTTCACATGGGATTCGAGTATTTATGTAAAAACATTAACAATGTTGAGTGATATCTAGTAAATATATAGGTCACAAATGGTCATTATATTGAATTATGTCAAAGGTCAATATATAGGTCACCAAAGGTCAAATATGAAATTGCCCATATAGATTGATTAATGTTGTTTATTCTCCAATTGCATCCAAAGTTAATGCGTAAGACACCAACACATTTGCACTTGATCACGACAGTGATATTCATTTCAGTGTTATCAAGTTATCAACTGAACTGCTTGTAACGTTTTAAATGACATAAGGTTTGCATGGGTTTACGCAGCTAGATTTACTTGAGATGATTGCGACTATTCTGGACGTGAACGTGAAATATTTCTGTGGCTTTAGTCCATGTTGCTGAATACGAAGTATCGGTGATCTGTCTTTAGACACTACTTTCATTCCGTTGTGTTTTGACAGTGTGAAGTTATATGCAATGGAAATCGATGGTAATGGGAGGGATTATCCTAGAGAGGATCCGGACCAGTATTCCCCCGTAACGAAGCCGGGGGGTATAGAGGAGGAAGGCAGCACTGATCACCTAACACAGCTGCTGGAAGCCCACACGGGAAGCCGCCCGCCGTCCGAGGGGAGTCTCGGGGAGGAAGATGTGGAGGAAGAACTGGTACCAGATGGGGGATGGGGATGGTGGTGTGTGGTCGGTTGTACCTTATCACATTTTGTCACGAGTAAGTTGATACAATACTTTACATAACTGTGAAAAGACTGGTGTCCTTATGCGATAGTACACTTAATTAAACCCAACTAGAATGTGGTTTCTACCAAAGATAGAGTAATGTAATATGGTTTTAGTCTCGTAGTATTTTTAACCATACATTGGTCGTTAGTTTATGTCAGTATGTGGTTTTGTTACACCGATGTATGAGAAGTCGTTGGGGTTAGAAATGGGAGGAGGGGAGGGGATGGACAGAAGGAGAAGCATTTCACGTTGTCATTTGAAATAAAATATTTAAAGCTAAAGTATTAATTCATTTTTTCTCTAAAACTTTGTTCCGAAAATGAAATTTAATGTATTTTAGCTGGTATTTCGTAGCTCAGACAACATTACGTTTATAACCAAAACAATCCATTACGTCTATTTTTGTCTTTGCTTAGACTGTTTCTTTTATTGACATAATTCATTCAGTTCAAAATATATTAGATGAACATTACTGATGAGAAAAACAATGGAGGCAGATATAAAGTTAAGCAATTTATTAACAGAAAAAATATACCAAGTACCGCCCTGCTTAGCTAAGTGACGGCCATTATTCTGGAGTAGCTACTAAGCTTCTAAGAAAATTCATCGCTGTAAGAATCTGGCATGTTCAGTTATCAAACTACGAGCTAACCTAAGACTTTTCATCGTTCTCAAAACTCGAGTTTTACATTTGAATTAACCATCGCCTCAACAGCATGAACAGTTCCACTGTGGAACCAGTCATAAGTCTCTTGAAATCCATTCTAAAAATGGTAATCCTTTAAATGTTTTAAGTACAGAATTACAAAAAGGATAGGCAACAGTGCACGATAATTAACTTAAAACATTCCTAGCTGTTCTGATCCGTTAACAAGAGAAAGTGCCGGAATTATCGTTATTTATTCAACGGATTTTACCTCTACTGTTACGGCTATTCTGCCTTTCAGCCTTATAGTGAACGAATCCCCCATTCATGACTTTATATAGCGGTCGTTACATTTTCCAAAACGGGACAAGATCCTGAACGCATTAATTCGTATACGTTATGTTATCTCAAATTTCGCTTCATAGATTCAAACGCCGTTCACTTGTGATACTCAACATAAGTAAAAAAAAAAAAACTCCAAAAGATAATTAAGAGTAATGAGGTAAGTAGAAAGTGAAAGGTTGTGTGATAAGTGAAAGCAATGTATGTAGAAATTATTTTGTCGTGCGAGATAGGAAGAAAGTAAATTTCCGTCAGGATGGTCAATTTAGATATGAATAACCGTTTCAATATAAATTGTGGTAAACAAATGATACTTTGGGTAGAAGTTGGTTAGATCTCGAAAACATATCATCAGGTTTGGTTGTTATTGCAAACATGTACAATATTCTGAAACCATCACCGGAATGATACATTCAGGTGGTGCTCTCTCACGAGGAATGATGTCACTCTAAATAAACTTCTAGGGTAGGATGATATTCCTGCCCAGCATAAAATCACGTTGGCTGGTTGGATATTCAAATAGTGTCATACTAGTGTTTACTATCGCGTCAACGATAGTGTATGCTGTAATGTATACCATATACATTAATATTTAAAGAAAGAATGCACATGGAAATTCGTTTGTTTTAGGTGGCCTGGAGAGGTCTGGTGGCGTCATTCTCCTCGAACTCCAGGAGAAGTTCAACTCCGGTGCGGCAGCTACTGCTTGGGTGATCTCCCTTAGTTCTACACTTCGTCTCTTGTTTGGTACATAAAAGTATTAGGTGTTTAACTATCTGCTTGAAGCACTGTAAGTACTTATCCATACAACCAACGTACGATCATGTACCAACTGGTGTGAAATAGTATTCTTAATCACCTTAAATAAGTAACTGACTAAATACCAATAGTTAATGTATACGCAATACAATCTACATAAGAGTAATTTATAGAAATTATGTATTCATCCTTCTTTCTTTTCAGAAATGTCGATCTCATTTATAAAAAATGTAACGTTAATTACATATTTTGTAGGCCCAATATCTAGTATGCTGAGTAATAAATACAGCTGTCGATCCGTAGTGGTAATGGGAGGCCTTCTAGTCTCTATCGGAGTGTTTGTGAGTGGATTCGGGCCCAGCATCGTCTTTTTGTACTTCACATATGGACTGTTTTGTGGTACGTAGCGAATCTCTATTACTATCATTATGACATGTTGACAAATTTCTGTAAAAGATTGCTATGGAAACACTAGTCGCACCATGAAACTCAATATGCCATGATTGATACACATAATTACTTCGTTCTAGTAGAAGACGCCTACCATTCCGGAATACCTGGTCTTATTATCCTTGTACTTTTTTGTTCTTATTTTGTCATAGTTCCATAGAATATTTGTTTGAATCAAGATTCTGTTAACATTTAGGTATTTTCTTTGTTAATTAAATATCGACTTGTGTTTATAGGATTGGGTAAATCTTTGGCCTACACTCCCGGGCTGGTGATCGTGGGCCAATATTTCAAAAGGAAACGTGGGTTGGCAGTTGGCCTTGCGACAGCTGGGGGAGGAGTTGGAACTCTTTTTATACCCCCAATCATAAACCGTCTGTTCAAAGAATTGAGGTTTACGGGCGCCATGATGATTCTGTCCGGACTGTCTCTACAACTGTGTATAGCAGGGTCCTTGTACATGCCACTCAACAAATACCGTGCTCTGTTTCAACGCAGGACTACCGACTTGTGAGTAGAGCGCCACGGGTATAACTGTTATCTTGCCAAATAACCTTATATTACGGAATACTTTTTTAATCTGGAGTTTTTTTTTCTAAAAAATGTGTATGAAAATCAGCCGATTTATTCTTCTTTCAGAAATTCCACGAAGCGAACAAGTATTCAACACGACAAAGAACTGCACTCAAACCTATCTGTAGGAAATGCTGCCCCGAAAGTAAAGTTTTCGGTGTTAGGGATGTTGAAATGTACACTGTGTTCACATAAAAACACTGTTAAACACCCACGTGAACATACTAAGAAAAAACTTATAGACTGTAGCCTAATGAGGAATCCATCTTTCAGCTCGTTGTGTGTTGCAATTTTGTTTTTGGCACTGGCATTTAATTCAGTGCTTGTGTTTATCCCATCTTTGGCGTATTCCATCGGTTTGACGCGCCTACAGGGGGCATACGTTCTCTCAATAGCAGGGATATTCGACACGATCGGTCGTCTGGCGTCCGGTGTCGTCCTGGACGTGGAGCGGGTGAAGAGATTCCGGATGTTGGTCTATAATAGTGCTCTCTTCCTGCTGTCCACACTTACATTCGCGCTGGCTTATATTGAGACTTTTGTACAGTTGGCGGTTATAGCAGCATTATATGGACTCCTAATTGGTACTTACACCTCTCAGAAATCTGTGATACTTGCCGATATTTTAGGATCTGGTGCTTTGTCGAGCTCGTTTGGGATCCTGATATGCTTCCAAGGTGTTGGTACTCTTCTTGGTCCCCCAATTACAGGTACATCTTACAAGCACATGGAGGGTGATCGAAGCAGATATTGGCGTGTTTACATCACACAATAGACATGATGGTAGATGGTACTAACATCCATGTGAGATCCGGGCGTAATTCATAGATTGTTTCTTTAGTATTTACAAACATATCAAACAATTATTTGTGTTTTTTTTAACGGAAACATGTTGGCGTTTACAGATGTATATCATGGGTGTTCAATGGGTACTTTTCGATCTGTCATCTTGGTCTTCATGGATGGTTTATAGAGGACGCAGTCTTGATATGTGATTGACGATTTTTATTGAAAGCATCGTGGAATTCATTTATATTTTTATGCAGACTGTAGATTTGGGCGTCATTTTGGCGTTCACGGATACCTTTCGGGATGTCATCTTGCAGCTTATTGAGATTTTCAAGCGCTCTTTTTCGCATTTATATATGCTTTACAATCAGTCATTCCGGCGTTCATAGATGGCTGAGAAAGGATGTTATCCTGTTTTCCGTAGATACTTTTAAGAGATTATTCGTAAGATTAATTTAAGGATCGAAGTCGGAATCTTGGCTACATAGGTATCAGCTTTAGTATCAAACATTGCCGTGTGAAGATTGGTTGCGTAGATAATTTTCAAAAGGGTGTCGTTTTACGTGATAGGGATTGTAAATAGGGTTTTAATGCACATTTCATACCACATACCATATTAACATTTGCTTCTCACGGATTCAGAATGTGATCTGGACGCTTGTATGTTCTTTCGAAGCAGACATATCGACGTGTATAGAAGTTTTTCATAATGCCACAATGACGTCATTGAGCATTGGTTTTTAATAGGGGTCTTGGCATAAAATTGTATGAAAGGAAATATAACTAAAAATAGATATCTTCATGAAGACATCTTGTAACTTAGATATACTTAGTAACAAAATATCTTACTGGGTATTACAATATATTTAACTCAAGTAGATTTTGATCTCTCTCTCTCGATCTCTCTCTCTCTCTCTCTCTCTCTCTCTCTCTCTCTCTCTCTCTCTCTCTCTTCGCATAATAATTGTATTTAAACATAACGTCTTGTCTTAATATGTTTAAATAAAAATATTACAATGTCGTAATAATATTTACTTTATTTTTAGGTTGGCTGAAGGACAATCTGCACTCGTTTGCCGTAGGGTTTTATGTTGCAGCTGCTATCAACTTCTTCGGTGCTCTGATTCTCCTTATTGGCAATATGTATCAGTATATCAAAACAAGAAGAAGGACGAACACAGACGATTTGGAAATGGACGAAGTTTAACACGAGTTATTTGAATTTTAGGATAACGACTCGGTGGTTTCGGGTACACATCTGCTCTTTAACAAGTATAATTGCTCTATGGATTTCTGCCTAATTTATTTAACCACATTAGCTAAGTCAAGGAACTTTTGGGTCGTCTTAACATGGATGATTCAAACTTCGTGTTTGTGTTGTGGCTGTTTTCACTTCACACTCTGCTTACAATCATCGTATGACGGACATGGGTCTTCTCAGACCAGAAATATAGGTTTGAATAATGTGCAATAAAGACTATGTGACGGGGTTTTGAAGTTTTCATTATTCAAAGTGTTTATCAAAATTGTACAAAACCTGGACCACAGTGCCATATTACTATCACGAGGCTTTAGACACGCCTGGGTTGCGTGTAAACCACATAACATATTATGAGTCAAAGGGGAAGTGCACAACTCGGGTACATCAAAGTCTCGTGATGTTGATGTGGTCCTGTGGTTGCTTGCAGCTGAGGTGTACGGATAAACCGTCGCTTCCTTAAAGGGGTCGTGGAATAGGTTGAAATATTAAAAAAATGAAAATTGTGAATAATTTCCTCAAGTTGTATGTTTTTTTTATGTAGAGTTAGTTTTATTATGAAACTGTCTATTACGTCATCATTTTGAGTCGCTTTGGTTTACTTGTTGGAACAGTTCACATCCGTTGTGTTATCTTGCCGTATCCAGAACCTACGCATAACCTTTCACACAATTAAGCTTTTATAGGAATATTCTTTTTTATTATTATTATTTTTTCAAGTCACAATTGTATGAAAATGTTTGAAAACTATTTCTGTAAGTAAGTATACATGTAAAAGGTATGTATGTCTTCTGATTATGGCTGAAGTATGAATGCAAGGTGATACATTTTTGACACAATGGGTATGTAAGATATACATTATACATGTACATTCACTATTCTCCTATAGATCTATATATACGTTTTATTAATAACCCAATACTGTTCAGAGGATGCATGGTCTCATACCAAGAACATACATTATTGTTTTAATCAGTACTAGTGGTGGTTTGTGTTGTATGTGTGACATTTGGCTACTACATGTGTGTATGTACAGTACATGTAAGCTGTATGTGTGGTTAGTATCATATGTGTGGTATATTCAATACCAGTGTGCACTTGGGTTGTCTGTTGGTATGTGTGTGGTGAAAAATTAATTATCTGCTTTGTGTGTGAAGAACATAAAGTCAACAAATTTGCTGTAGTTTGAAGATTTATGATGTACAATGTATTGTTGTGTTTGTGATGATAAAACTGAAAAAAAATAATAAAATATAAAAAAATATTTTTTTTAAATTTCATGCTAATATGAAAGAAAAAAAATTGCAAACTTACCGTGAATGCGCTACGCATTCATTCAGTTTGCAAATTAGGTTTCTTTCATACTAGCATGAAACTAAACTTATTCCTCTCAAAGCTTATGATATATTTATAAGGTTACAAAGAACAAAAATGTATACATTTGATAATTTAATGATGGATTATTTTATAACAAATCACAACGCGACATTATTCGCAGCAAATTTACGCCTTTTTCAGCCTTCGAAATTCATTAATGAACGAACCAGTCGCATTCCAAACCAGTTTCTCCCAGAGTGCATTGCGATTCCCTAATGACACCTCTGTAAACGGCTCATGCTATTTTAATATTCTTTTAAAAAGACATATTTGTATCAAATAATAAAGTATTTAATCATTTTTCTGTTTTGTTATTTTGAAAATATATATTTATTCATCTGGAATATAACTACATTGGTTTATATGATTATAAACAGTATTGCTCATATCACGGCAGATTTAAGTAATCAGTCAGCAACTGTCGTGTTTACAATCTGTACTACCACCTTTCAGTTGCCGACGTGGTCTTAAGATACATGTTCATATAATATGATATCGGTGAAAAGTGATGGTAATTTTGCGAGGATATTTCAACACATTACCTTTCAAAAAGATGTTTTTTACACTGATCAATGGTAGACAAAACGATATACGGTTGTATCCTTCGTTGGATTTGTCAGGGATATGGCCGTAGTTTTACTCGACGTCAAACTTTGATCCTATCCGTGACGTCAACTACTGAACTACTGGTTAGTCCGTGAGCCGCTTACAGAGGTGTAGTGTGACTTTTAAGGAGCGACAACTCTGGTAAAGATTTATTTCAAATGGCAACGTGTAAAATAAAAATAGTATATTTTCCCCCTGATAAATCCGTGATTTATTCTTTGTTAATTGTTTGTGTACATTGTCACATATCTGTATATCTTATGGTGTATGTAGTCAGTTTTTTTGTTAACATCATTGAATGACAGCGATCCACACACCAGGTGAATGTAAACAGATATACCATAAATGATAAAGAATAGCGCCAACAGATCCGCCGCAAGGTGGCGTGTTGCCATAAACTCCTTCAACCATTATGAAGTAGGCAGAGCTAGATGTTTTAGGGGTTTTCTTCGTGTACAAACAACGAAACAATAATCATGTTCAGAAAAAAATGAATTATGAAGTCGATATATGTAGTATAATGCATTGAACCCAATAAACAGTTTTGGGACTCAACTGGGAACCCAGTATAAACCCTACGATTATGTTTCAACCATCTACAACCCTATATCCGTCGTAGATACCCAGTATTTATCATATATTGGATCACATGGTCACTATCAACTCGGGGATCCTGTACCAGTTGGTGAGATCAGTGTCCTATAGACATAATGTAGTCTAACGACTTAATAACGACTGCTCATGTGTATACAGATTCTATCCTGAAAGTAGACTTACTGTCTATTGAATAAATGTTTACTGGTAATCCTTCAGTTATGTTATGTTAGTCTTTGCCAGTCTGTCACTGAGAACAGGTTACAAGAAAGTTCATAGAGCATCATTTAATCTCTCTCTGAATTGAATTTTAAAGTAATTTGTTTGCTGGGGTTATCGTCTCATGAACGGTCAGGCTCATTTTAAGGTAGAGTTTCCTTGTGGTAGTTAATTTCTACCTTACTGAATATCACAAGGGAGATCCGTCGCAAGCTCTCTAAGCCAGTGGCCTGACGGTCCGTGAGCTCATCTTTTTGAGAAACACAAACTACATAGGTCAGCGATCGAACTACACACATTGGATTTTTTGACTGAGGTTACAGTAATTAAATGCAAGAGGAGACAAAACTCATAGAAAACACTGTTCGTTGATAAGTTTGAGGCAATTTTCAGAATATTGATAAATATTCTATTATTTTGTAAAGGCAATAACATCACTTTAGAATCGCATGTAACAAAGGCAATTTGTGTGGATTCAAGAATTGCGATGTGCTTTTATTTTTTTTCATTATTATTATTTGATCTGTTTCTATCTGTTTTGCTTTAGAAAAAAAACTTGTTTTAAGCAAACAAGCCTATATGTTTTGTACTTCACTGGAAATCAAATCACCTATGCTTTTGTAGGTGTTCTTTCTTTCGACGTAAAATAATCGAAAAATATTCGTTGCTTTTATGAAAGAATGCTGTATACTACCGCGACATAAATATAAATTACGCGTGTATATACATAACCTCTGGAACACCAAAGCTTCTAATCGGTCTTGCTGTGTGGATATTTAATAGAGACACTTGAAAGTTTTGTCAAACAAAAAAATGAACCTCTTCCATCCTATTCTTTCTCCGACTTTCGATCATTTAATGTACGGATGTTATCTCTTTAATCATTACTATTCAACAATCTTCTATTTTACATGTTGCCAAATGATAAAAATAGTATATTTTCCCCCTGATAAATCCGTGATTTATTCTTTGTTAATTGTTTGTGTACATTGTCACATATCTGTATATCTTATGGTGTATGTGGTCAGTTTTTTTGTTAACATCATTGAATGATCCACACACCAGGTGAATGTAAACAGATATACCATAAATGATAAAGATTTGGCGTGTTGCCATAAACTCCTTCAACCATTATGAAGTAGCCAATTTACCATGTTGAAAAAAATGAATTATGAAGTCGATATATGTAGTATAATGCATTGAACCCAATAAACAGTGATCGGTATTGATTATGTTTCAACCATCTACAACCCTATATCCGTCGTAGATACCCAGTATTTATCATATATTGGATCACATGGTCACTATCATTTAATGTACGGATGTTATCTCTTTAATCATTACTATTCAACAATCTTCTATTTTACATCACCTTTTTAAATCAACAGATTTTGAAGCCAATTTATCTATTGCGTTGTCCGTCATCCGTCCGTCCGACCGTAGTTCATCATCACCTTTTTAAATCAACATCTAATTAGATTAGGACCTTATATAATACTTTTTCTTCTAATCGGACAAAGGAATGTTTACCCAAATTTTGGATAATCTTAATATCTGCACCTCTCTACGTCTTTGAGACAGAGGGGTGTGTTGTACCTGCCACTGGGGCGGGGAAATAGAGGTAAATTTTTGAAAATCCTAATCTCTGTGTGTGGATAAATTCATTTTGACTAGGTTTTGTTAGAGCATTCTTGGTTACAGAAGACTTGATCCTGTACAGATGAAAGACCTAGTCTCCCTTACAGTAGAGGGGAAATTAAGGCGTAATACTGGCAGTAGGGGATACATGCAGAAATGTTTATCACGTGCGGAATTCACAGTCACGTAATATATGATTATTTATAAGAGGCAGGGCTGAAATTATTTCATAATGAAAAAAACAACTTTTTGTCATGATTGTTGGAACAATCGAATGAATTATGAAGGCCCTGTGGATCCCTTTTTCATACTAAACGTTTAACGTTAAAGACCCCCTTCGAACTTGTTTATAGGACTTGTACCACTTTGTTCTTCTAACTCGCCTCACCATGTGGGGTTTTCATTATTATTAAAACATTTAGTGAAATTGTAGTATGTAAATCAATAAAAAAAACTATTGTCAAACTATAAGCGATGCATGTGATCGGGTAGCGCAGTGGTAATGCATTCGCCTTTCACTTTGGCGTCCGCGGTTCGATTCCCTGCCTGACAAACAAGGGTAAATTATACAAGTTGAATAACATGTTTCGCAATTCGCATTTTCATAATATTCCGATACGAAAAATGCACTGTATGTTTTTTGCACTAGGGCGAGCTCATCTTACTTACATCGACGTTGCGAAGTTGGAGATGAGTACTTTATTTGTGAAACATGCTAAACATGTTTACCATTGTAACATTTGTGTTGGTGATAGCTGTGATCTCAAGGTCAGTGAGAGTTCTCTACAACAATACTTTATTATTGTCTAATTACTATTAATTTGCACAAACTATCTGAAGTTTTTTACATAATTTTCAGTCTGTTCGCAACATGGGATTAAATAACTCAATTGTCCAGTGATTCCTGTATTAATCCAAATCCCTTTCAGCAAACGCAAGCGATCTAATATTTGTGACGTCACGGTCACGCTTTTCGAAATGGGTTATATATGTAAACTGAAGTCACGACACGTGCGCATTCCAGGTATCCCACGTGCACCTTAGTGAAATGTGTTAGACGTATCTGTATCTCAGGTGAGCGGTCACTACAAGAAGGGATAGGAGACGAGGAAACATGCACCTCTCCATTCGTGCCCTGTTGATATTCTACACATGTCAATGGACTGGTATGTAGAGATAACGACTGAAATATTACATCTATCTTGACAGGAATGTTTAACATTCATCCCTGTCAACAGATCCAGTGTAAAAATTCCATGAATTCCTATTTCTTGTTAGAACGTGTATCGGTAAAAGTAAATTCTTTGTAAATTCTGCGATGTTCTGTATTTTCAGCAGTCAGTTCTGTCGTATTAAGCTCACTTTTTACGATACTGTATGTACATTATATAATTATGTTAAAGAGCCGATCTAAATGATGTAACCAGAGATCCGTACCGTCAGTTTCAATCCACTTTCCATATACTGGTATGGCGGACACCAACTTCCGCCAACAATTTCACTTTTTAGCATGTATTTTTCATTATAGATATGTATTGTTCCAACCCAGTTTTGTATTCATAAACACGATTTTTTCTCATTTCGATAAATGATGTAACATTTTAGCCATTGAACTCTGATTAAGATAACGTGGCGCTGACAGTTTGAAAAAAAGATGTCGTTATATTTTCGATTTTCAAATAAAAAATATGGAAACCGTAAATCTCAAATTCTAAAATTGTACGCAGAGATGCACCTCACAATATATCCCGATTTACTTTTTATCCTTTTCTTACCTTTGGTGCAATACTGTTTATCTTTATCTCCCATGGTCCAATACTGTTTATCTTTATCTCCCATGGTGCAATACTGTTTATCTTTATCTCCACTGGTCCAATACTGTTTATCTTTATCTCCACTGGTCCAATACTGTTTATCTTTATCTCCCATGGTCCAATACTGTTTATCTTTATCTCCCATGGTGCAATACTGTTTATCTTTATCTCCACTGGTCCAATAATGTTTATCTTTATCTCCACTGGTCCAATACTGTTTATCTTTATCTCCACTGGTCCAATACTGTTTATCACCACTGGTCCAATACTGTTTATCTTTATCTCCCATGGCCCAATACTGTTTATCATTATCTCCCATGGTCCAATACTGTTTATCTTTATCTCCCATGGTGCAATACTGTTTATCTTTATCTCCCATGGTGCAATACTGTTTATCTTTATCTCCACTGGTCCAATACTGTTTATCTTTATCTCCACTGGTACAATACTGTTTATCTTTATCTCCCATGGTGCAATACTGTTTATCTTTATCTCCACTGGTCCAATACTGTTTATCTTTATCTCCACTGGTCCAATACTGTTTATCTTTATCTCCACTGGTACAATACTGTTTATCTTTATCTCCACTGGTCCAATACTGTTTATCACCACTGGTCCAATACTGTTTATCTTTATCTCCCATGGTCCAATACTGTTTATCTTTATCTCCCATGGGTTTATATTTATCTCCCATGGTGCAATACTGTTTATCTTTATCTCCACTGGTACAATACTGTTTATCTTTATCTCCCATGGTGCAATACTGTTTATCTTTATCTCCACTGGTCCAATACTGTTTATCACCACTGGTCCAATACTGTTTATCTTTATCTCCCATGGTCCAATACTGTTTATCTTTATCTCCCATGGTCCAATACTGTTTATCTTTATCTCCACTGGTCCAATACTGTTTATCTTTATCTCTTTATCTCCACTGGTCCAATAATGTTTATCTTTATCTCCAATGGCCCAATACTGTTTATCATTATCTCCCATGGTCCAATACTGTTTATCTTTATCTCCCCTGGTCCAATACTGTTTATCTTTATCTCCACTGGTCCAATACTGTTTATCTTTATCTCCCATGGTGCAATACTGTTTATCTTTATCTCCACTGGTCCAATACTGTTTATCTTTATCTCCCATGGTCCAATACTGTTTATCTTTATCTCCCATGGTGCAATACTGTTTATCTTTATCTCCACTGGTCCAATACTGTTTATCTTTATCTCCCATGGTCCAATACTGTTTATCTTTATCTCCACTGGTCCAATACTGTTTATCTTTATCTCACATGGTCCAATACTGTTTATCTTTATCTCCACTGGTCCAATACTGTTTATCTTTATCTCCACTGGTCCAATACTGTTTATCTTTATCTCCCATGGTCCAATACTGTTTATCTTTATCTCCACTGGTCCAATACTGTTTATCATCTCCCTGGTCCAATACTGTTTATCTTTATCTTCCAATACTGTTTATCCCACTGGTCCAATACTGTTTATCTTTCCAATCTCCACTGGTCCAATACTGTTTATCTTTATCTCCCACTGGTCCAATACTGTTTATCTTTATCTCCACTGGTCCAATACTGTTTATCACCACTGGTCCAATACTGTTTATCTTTATCTCCACTGGTCCAATACTGTTTATCACCACTGGTCCAATACTGTTTATCTTTATCTCCACTGGTCCAATACTGTTTATCTTTATCTCCCATGGTCGAATACTGTTTATCTATCTCCACTGGTCCAATACTGTTTATCTTTATCTCCCATGGTCCAATACTGTTTATCTTTATCTCCCTGGTCCAATACTGTTTATCTTTATTGGTCCAATACTCTTTTACTGGTCCAATCTCCCCATGGTACCAATACTGTTTATCTTGGTCCAATACTGTTTATCTTTATCTCCCATGGTCCAATCCCATGGTCCAATACTGTTTATCTTTATCTTTCCAATCTCCACTGGTCCAATACTGTTTATCTTTATCTCCACTGGTCCAATACTGTTTATCTTTATCTCTGTTTATCACCACCACTGGTCCAATACTGTTTATCTTTATCTCCCACTGGTCCAATACTGTTTATCTTTATCTTGGTCCAATACTGTTTATCTTTATCTCCATGGTCCAATACTGTTTATACTTTATCTCCACTGGTCCAATACTGTTTATCTTTATCTCCATGGTCCAATACTGTTTATCTTTATCTCCCATGGTGCAATACTGTTTATCTTTATCTCCACTGGTCCAATACTGTTTATCTTTATCTCCACTGGTCCAATACTATTTATCTTTATCTCCCATGGTCCAATACTGTTTATCTTTATCTCCACTGGTCCAATACTGTTTATCTTTATCTCCCATGGTCCAATACTGTTTATCTTTATCTCCCATGGTGCAATACTGTTTATCTTTATCTCCACTGGTCCAATACTGTTTATCTTTATCTCCCATGGTCCAATACTGTTTATCTTTATCTCCACTGGTCCAATAATGTTTATCTTTATCTCCACTGGTCCAATACTGTTTATCTTTATCTCCACTGGTCCAATACTGTTTATCTTTATCTCCACTGGTCCAATACTGTTTATCACCACTGGTCCAATACTGTTTATCTTTATCTCCACTGGTCCAATACTGTTTATCTTTATCTTTATACTGTTTATCTTTATCTCCACTGGTCCAATACTGTTTATCTTTATCTCCCATGGTCCAATACTGTTTATCTTTATCTCCCATGGTCCAATACTGTTTATCTTTATCTCCCATGGTCCAATACTGTTTATCTTTATCTCCCATGGTGCAATACTGTTTATCTATCTCCACTGGTCCAATACTGTTTATCTTTATCTCCCATGGTCCAATACTGTTTATCTTTATCTCCCATGGTGCAATACTGTTTATCTTTATCTCCACTGGTCCAATACTGTTTATCTTTATCTCCACTGGTCCAATACTGTTTATCACCACTGGTCCAATACTGTTTATCTTTATCTCCACTGGTCCAATACTGTTTATCTTTATCTCCCATGGTGCAATACTGTTTATCTTTATCTCCACTGGTACAATACTGTTTATCTTTATCTCCACTGGTCCAATACTGTTTATCACCACTGGTCCAATACTGTTTATCTTTATCTCCCATGGTCCAATACTGTTTATCTTTATCTCCACTGGTCCAATACTATTTATCTTTACCACTGGTCCAATACTGTTTATCTTTATCTCCACTGGTCCAATACTGTTTATCTTTATCTCCCATGGTGCAATACTGTTTATCTTTATCTCCACTGGTCCAATACTGTTTATCTTTATCTCCACTGGTCCAATACTGTTTATCTTTATCTCCCATGATGCAATACTGTTTATCTTTATCTCCCATGGTGCAATACTGTTTATCTTTATCTCCACCGGTCCAATACTGTTTATCTTTATCTCCACTGGTCCAATACTGTTTATCTTTATCTCCACTGGTCCAATACTGTTTATCTTTATCTCCCATGGTCCAATACTGTTTATCTTTATTTCCACTGGTCCAATACTGTTTATCTTTATCTCCCATGGTCCAATACTGTTTATCTTCATTAGTGTGATAACTTTTATCACATCTATTGTAATACATTGTTCAGCGATGACCGTCATGCACGAGATCAGAACAGTTAAAAAAAATCCTTGTTCAAGTTTTTGTACATCAGTATAATTCTTCTGATTTCCAAGGGTACCTATACAATCTAAGAATAGATATATATGTACGTTTGAAATTTCCATGTGAACTTTCTATGCGAACTTTCTATGTGAAGTACCTGTGCGAACTTTCTATGTGAACTTTCAATGCAAACTTTCTATGTGAAGTACCTGTGCGAAGTTTCTATGTGAACTTTCTATGTGAATTTTCTATGTGAAGGAAGTACCTGTGCGAAGTTTCTATGTGAACTTTCTATATGAAGTACCTGTGCGAAGTTTCTATGTGAACTTTCTATGTGAACTTTCTAAGTGAAGGAAGTACCTGTGCGAAGTTTCTATGTGAACTTTCTATGTGAACTTTATATGTGTAATACCTGTGCGAAGTTTCTATGTGAAGTACCTTTGCATAATCTAGTTAGTATCCTTGCTGACCTGAGATTGATACCGAAAGATTTGGCACAGAATAGAAAGTTGTAAGGCACGTTATGCTGAAAGTTACTCCAGAAGTCTTAAAGTGTCTGTTTTATAAGTGGTCTGTTTTCTGACTGTATTGGGGCGACCTGATGTAACCGTGCCCCATCCGTCGTTTGTTAATGCTTTTTTAAACGGCTCAACGCATTTTGGCCTAATTTGAGCGTCATCTTAGATTTCAAAAAGTCAAAGGTCATAATTAGTTATCTTTATTTGAAGAAGTTCAAGATGAATCTTTCCTAAATTTCATCTGTAGGTTCCCTTTGGGCCCTTGTGCACTTTTGATTTTGTGACTGATCAGAAAAGGAAAGATGGTGTACAGACGGCCATCTTGCATTTTGAATATGAAAGTTTGCTGGTATTTCCCAAGGAAATTTTATGAATAGGTTTCCCTTGGTCCGCAGATGCGCCCTTTTGAATTTTGGATTGAAAAAAATACTGAAATGCGATCATGTTGGATTTTTTCGTAGGAAAGATTTTTATCCTTATTACTTGAGGAGTATATGAACAATCTTTCACTGATTTGGCCAATATAAAGTTTCAATGCAGTCCCTAGATAAGCCCTTTTTATTTGGGGACTGATCAGAAGTGATATTTTGATTCCTGTGTGTTCTCTCAACAGGCACTTCTGGTTCATCATTATTACGGAAGGCTGAATTATCAAAGCTACGGGAACTGTCGGAACATTATGAACATCGACAGTTCAATCCTCATGTCGGTACTACTCCACCCTCACCCTCACCCTCACCCTCACCCTCGCCAGTAGCAATACACCACTGGATGAGCTGTCCCATTCTGAAGCAGCTACTCCGACTGTATATAAGCGGATTTCCAGAAGTATCAAAGGCAATAGGTAAGTTACATGTAAACTTCATGTCGGATAGGGATATTCCAGTGGTGAAAAGTGGTAAAACCAAAGACTCTGCCGAGAGTTTTACATTTTGCTGAACGCCGAGGTAGGATATCCCTATCGTACATACGCATATATGTTGACTTTTTTTTTTAATCGAACCTATCTTACCACTGCCACAGTCAAGGCGATGTTTGTTTTCAAAAGGTTGAACCTTTTTTTTACTTGGTGCATTTAATAAAAAAAAATAATTTTGAACTCTGATAACTCACATGCGTATTACATGTAGCAATGTCAAGAGTTCACTTAAACATTCAAATTCAATATTTGTATCATGTTGTGTCTTGCGATGTTAAAAATGGACGAGCCGAATCTTATAGTGAATGTAGGATGTTCATGGGCTTTAAGATATATCCATGTAGTTCTTTGTTAGTTATCATGACATGTTTGTCTCTATTCAAATGTTTTAAAAAAAGAAATCATCATTTAACAAACACATTTTAAATAGTAGTCTTACATACGACAGACTTGTTAAAATCGGGGGTGATGTCCTAGATAGATCAGTATTACATCGGTAGAAACTGAACACATACAGTGTACATTGGTGTCAAAGGTCACACTGTATAAAAGTGATAGCGGCGTCAGGGGACAACACTGTGAGACTCCAAACCTCTCAAAAAGTGTAATGCGTTCATTACAATATTTCAAGCTTCCCTGTATAGCTTCAGTGTAATAAAACCCATTTCACAATGTGACCTTACAATTGGTTAAAGGTTTCCAACGTTTCCATGGTGACGTCATAACTTCTTGACATCATATAGATTGTGTCGTTACCATTTCATACGAGATTTATGAAACTCGTCAAGTTCAAGCATTTACTTCATAAATCTCTTATGAATGAAAGCACATGTAATATCCTCTATTTATGATCACATATTCCAATAGCAAGAGTGACAAGGGAAGTTTTGTAAGATTTGATGTATAATATAAATATGTTACTCAATGCCTGTCGTGAATATTACAGCTACCTACCCACGACATCATGTCTACGTTCTTCATTACCCGTTGGACATTTATTGATATTTTGATGTTAAATTTTTTATTTATAGATTCATTCAATATTTCCGAAGCAACCATCAATGCCACATTATGGAGAGTTGTGAAAACATTTGAGTATATTCAGAATCCATTTCTGACTGTTGACCTGTTGATTGAGGACATTGCTCGAATGATTCTAGAGAAACGGGCCAATTGTACAATTACAATGTACCAGCGGGTCTTTATATGTAAGTATAGATAACTGTGTATAATATAGAAATAAAAAAAGGTCCAATGTGAAATTTCGAACGACTGAACACGCAGAGAAGTGTTGACGAAGTTTAACGACCTATCTGTTCCTATTTACAGAATTTATAGATATACACTATTACGACAAAAGCAAAGAACAAAAACGAAAAAAAAAAAAAAACAAAAACAAAAAAAAAAAAAAAAACCTAAAACAAAACATGAAAACAAATAAAAAAAACATATATGTAAAAAGATAATAGACGCAGATTAATGGTTGGGGTTTATTTCGACTGGAAGAGTTACTTAGAAAATGTAAATGTATTTTGGTGACGTTTACCATGAATCGAAAATTTGGATCCCAGTTAAGCATCGATAATTATTGGTATAGGAGTTAACTCCCTTCGTGTGTTGTCGACCATGTCCCCGGACGTACTTACATATTTTATATTTTCTTTTGTCGTATTTAGTTTGTTCAATTCAAATGCCTCTACAAACGTATTGAACGCATAAAACACACTTGTTTATATAAAATTGGAAAAAAAAAATCGGATTTCCTATAAAGACTAGTAAAAGATATAGAGAAATAAGCCTCTGATTATACCATTTCTTAGGTGTGTTTTATATTTGGTTTGTGTTAGGGTATTTTTGAAGTCCGTCTAATATCTTGAAAATAATTGTATTGTCTGATGCTATCCCTTGACCACTGGACTGGCATTATCCTACTCGTTTTACGAACAGTAATTTGTTTACAAATGTTTATATATATACATGTATGTATGTATGTATGTATGTATGTATGTATGTATGTATGTATGTATGTATGTATGTATGTATGTATGTATGTATGTATGTATGTTGGTGGCTAGGAATTTGTTACCCAGGGTTTGAAATCTTGTCACACTGGCCTTTTCCTGACATTTTCATACTTTATTAGACATTTCACGAAGATACATTGTACATTATTTTATATTGGTCATTTTGGTCATTTTAAACTCTTATTGATTGCAATACAAACACCATCAGGGGCGGTAACTATTTTTTAAATATTGCCTCCTAGCGAAAGCATTGCTATTGGTAAACAAAACACTTGGCTTGATGTAAGTTGGAAAATGTGTACCGAATTCCAATGTGTATATATTTGATTCAAATGTTGGATTAAAAAAATAATATTGGAAACGAGAAATCCTAGCAAATGTGATTCATAATAACTTTTCCCAAGCATTGTATTTTGTATGATAGCGGTGTCCTTGTAGATTTTGTAGGAAACCGCAGTATGCACTGCCATATACATGGACATCAAAGCAAGTTTTTTTGCCAAATTATGTACACAACAATATCATAAGTGATATGTCTACATGACCGTTATAAACTTTGCTGGTGGTATGATTATCAATGATTTTGACAATAAAGTAAAACTCGATATAACATCGAAGTGCCCGGATGTTGATAAAGGACGAAGTTAAAACTCCCATATTCTCCCCAGCGAAATTTACAGTTGGCTAAGCAATTTCTGTTGTTATGTAATCAACAATGTGAAATTGGATGAGTTATATAAACAAAATACACAGCTGCTTAAAAATCTATTACACAGTTTTCCAAATTATCCCTTCGCGATATAAACAGAAGTCATTGGTCCGAGGTCACGTGATGAGTGTTTGTTTATTTACAGATGCGATGATGAAACAGATGAACGTGATGATGAGTTCAGATGACAGGACTATTTTAAACCAGGTCGGAGAAATCCTTGCTCGTCACTACTCGTCCAGACTGGATGTGATTGTCCTGGTTCCCCAGATCATACTTATCACGCATGACACGGTTTATAAGGAGATAGTAGACTCTCTGCTACAGTTGGAGTTCCGTTGTACGTATCTAAGTGAAGATTCTGAATCCATAAATCCTCTAGAAATAATGTGTGTATCATGGTTTTGCTCTAGAAATTAGACAAATGACCCAGCCTTCCCTTGCCAAGGTGGGCCTGTATGTGATCTTGTCATACTCCCATGACTAAAAATTTTAAACAATTTTTTTACTTAATCTCATAAAAAATGCAAAGTTTCACGACATACTTCAGTTCAAGCTTGTTACTGTCAGGAAACTAACACCAGAAGTCCAACTCCAGTTAGTGTATTGAGACCTCACGTTTCAGGTATCCTAGACTTGACTGACGATGTGGAGTGAGAATACTTGTATATGTAACTGAAAGATGTAACTTTAAATATGGTTTAGCGGACAGACAAGCTATGCCGGTGAAATCGCCGTTTCGTATGTAAATGTTGTAAATGTATGTAGATATACTCTAAGGTATTTGATATCGTGTTTTCAGTGGAGGTAATTTATTTGTGAACATTTTGGTAGTACACTTGTGAAAAATTAACAATGCTATACAAATTCGAGGCTGGAGAATTTCTATCTGGCATTTCATTGGTTTCCTTTAACTATCTACAGTACCCTATACAAGCATCCTCCGTCACTGTTATCCCACTGAGACGTTCCTGTTTATAGAACACCCTCATTTTTCACAGTAAAATTTTGAAATATAACGAAATCGATATAGTTGTTGAGTTGTGACTATTGTACATGTTATCATATCTGTGTTCTTCTCTCTTTCAGATTTAACTTGGTTTCTGTCCATCTTCAGAACAGAAGCACAAGACATTTTCGAAAGAAATGCATACCCTACTTCAGACTACTTGTTTAACGAGCTGATGGAAGCTGTAAATGCTGGCCGACGCCTTTTCCCTGAAGTATGGCAGTGTACATCAGAGGCAAGCTTTGTCGCCGTTCACCAGACGGTTGCTGAACAGTTAAGCGATCAGTAAGTCTTTCAATTTGATACAAACCAAGTTTGATGTCCGATATGAGACATTCCGTCTCTTCACTTTATTTAAACACATTTTATCATCAGAAACAGAGAAATGGGTCAGTGACAAGTTGTATGAACTTGTGAACTCTTCTCTATAGATAAACTGAAAGTAATTAATATGCTGCACGTGACACACACTTATACTGTAACACGAAAGTATGTCACTCGTAAACATGCAATTGTACGTTTAAATAATTTTGTCATATGGCTTTCGTTTCACTTACTGACTAGCCTATGCGCATGATATTGGGCTGGTTGATCCCTAAGCTAAAGCCAGCATATATATGTATTGCTAAAAGTCATAACTTTGATCTGTATTCAAGGTAACAGTAGTAGAATTTGTAAGACACTAAAATAGCTTAATTTGTATGTAAATTGTATTAATTTCCTGAAGTCGTCCACAGCAGGATCCGTCAATTTTAGATCAATGTTCACCTTGCAGATTATAAGCATGCTAGTTTCAAAGTTTCTAAATAGATGTGACATAGATCTTGTTGAATGTCAATGATATATTTGTCGTGAATACCAGGTCAGTGATGAAAACCCATTCGTCTCTTGTTTTTATGCAGTCACTTTTCACCGTAGTATACTAAAAATAATTTCCAAAATTTGATTATATCAGTCATTTGTTTGGATAGGTGTTTGATTCAATAAAGATGGCACCAAGCCAAACCAAGTCAAGCCAGGTCATGTAATAAATATAAGTTTAAAATAGAATGCTTAACAACAAAAATACTGTCTCTTGCAATAACTGTCAGTACTTTCTGCTCTTTGATTACGAAGTATGAACAAGCGTTCTGATTTTTGTGATATCAATCTACATGATACAGCTATTTACTCCCATAGTTCATTGGTATAAGCTCTAATCTTTGACTTTTGTAAATAATCATAAACTATATCAATATTAGTGAGTACAGTTAACACAAACGTTAATTTCGTGTTATTGGCGTTGTCAGTTAGAAACCAATGTTTAGCACATTTTATCTGTATTATGATGTATATATTGTTAAAAAAATAGTGCACTGAAGATACATGTACTTGTATGTGTGTAAAATGTGTATGAGTTGATTATCCCTATATGGATCGTTTGGTGGAGAGAATCTATAAAGGATTTGTCTGTTAATTTTTCCTACATTGATCGTTTGTTGGAGGGAATCTATAAAGGCTTTGTCTGTTATTGTTTCCGTACATTGATCGTTTGGTGGAGGGAATCTATAAAGGATTTGTCTGTTATTGTTTCCTTACATTGATCGTTTGTTGGAGGGAATCTATAAAGGATTTGTCTGTTATTGTTTCCTTACATTGATCGTTTGGTGGAGGGAATCTATAAAGGATTTGCCTGTTATTGTTTCCGTACATTGATCGTCTGGTGGAGGGAATCTATAAAGGATTTGCCTGTTAATTTTTCCTACATTGATCGTTTGGTGGAGGGAATCTATAAAGGATTTGCCTGTTGTTCGATCCAATTCACTATACAGTCATTCAATAACATTTGATGTGTGGACAGACAAACGTCTAGCTGAATTGTTAGGTCATTAATTGCCCTGTACTTGAACTTTTTTGCCAATCAAGCACTCCTTAGAAATGTATAATATCCACAAGACTAATTGCAATGATGTAAGATAAAGTAGGATTTTTGGTTCATAAAATGTAAAATATATATTTTCCCGTTTGGTTGGTTGAGTTGAGTTGAGCTATGCCATTTTTGATCGATTACTGCTTGACAACAGCATTGACTCCTTAAGCAAGAGGTCCATAAGTCATGTATCGACCACCTTGTTCAGTTTGATTTATTCAAACCAAAGTCAAAGTGTTTAAAACACTTGTAACTATTTCCACTGTCCTTCCCCTCTTTTCAAAAGGGGTTAAATGCACAGTTTATACAAAACCCAAGTTTTCTTCGCCCAACGACGCTTTAGACCAAATTTGGACAAAATTAAATCATTCCAACAGAAGAAATTTTAAGGATTTGCTCTCTTTCCATTACTAGGTCTCGGTCCTCTGCCCGGTGTTCCCCTTATTGAGCCCCATCCGTCCCGCCCCAGGGGACCGATACTCACCTTATAAACAAAATTGGTTCGCCTTCCCCTGATAATGTTTTTTGGCCAGGTGCGCTAATAATTTTCGAATAGACTTCAATTTTATAAACACCTTCAATACACCGTTGTTTCTTTAAAACAGTTTTGCAATCAAAATCCTGCAGATCATTTGTAAATTTTGAGACTGTATATATTTGTGTGAGAGTTGGATCCACAAGTCTTATAATTCTGTTAATGTTTTAAATCATATTAAACTAATCAGAAGTTTTATGACAATATTTACTACTTTTAGCATAAAAATGTGAAACTTGCAAATGTTGGCCCGCTCTTGTAGCGCTTTACATGATGAACTTATACTGGAATAACTAAGAAATGAAACGTATATTTGGTAAAAGGCAAACAATATACTGTATACCGGAGAATTTTCGCCCTGTTTAGTTTTCCTTCTTCGTACATAAACAGAGAGGGCGATTTAAAGATAGAGGCGAATATTTGTTACACTTATATTAACCTTTCATGTATTCATCAGAGAGCCAAAGGAACATGAAGCGAATTCGTGTATAACAAAACAACGGCGAAAATAACATGTGATGAAAATATCCTGGTATACACAGTATGTAAAATTTAATGCCATTGAAGATACATTAACACTTCATGAATTATACTTTCAATTCCAGTTTTTTCAAGATGTTGGAGACCGGCTATGTTTCCGCAAAAGTGATTGGCGACATCAACTTGTTGTTTAGAATGCCCGGTAACGGCTTGACCACACCCTTAGACATGGATGACCCTCAATTGGACTTGGTCGTAAAAGAACTCGAAGGCCTCATCTTAAATTATGCATCTGAAGTCATGAACGCAACAGCGTCCTACGGAGAAAGTCTGTCCACACATGGCTTGACTGAACCCCCAGAGTACCTGTTGGGCTTACTATGTAAGTCGGAGAGAAATGGATTACAAAACTTGCTATTATGCGAGGAGTCGGGAGAAATAGAATGTTACACTGTTACCATGTGAGTCGGGGGGGGGGGGGGATAACAAATTATCAAATTCGTTTCATTGGGAGACGTGGGTACGCCGAGTTAAAAACGTTTTTTATGTGAGAAACAGAAGTGGCTTGCTTCTAAGTGTGGCACCATCTGTTACTCGGAAGGTGACATATGGTCCACATTTGGCATTCATATTTTAGTGTACTTACGATATTTGTTGATTGTATGACGTGCATATAATAAAATAAGATTAATGCCTATAAGATGATGTATGTTTTTGTATACAAAACATTCACAGCTCTTTTTAACTTTTAAGATAAGAAAATTATCAAAGCAAAGTTAGAAGCTGATAACACCTGAAGCATGACAATGAGATTTTCCAGTGACAGTGTCAGGAGAGCAATATATATTAAAATACTCGTTTCTTTGGGAATCGGGAGGGAAATAGAACATAGGACTCGTTTCACTGCAAGTTGGAAACGGATATGAAAGACTCGATATTAAGTGAGTCAGGGAGTAATAGAATAACAGAGGCAATTTATTTTCATTGCCTTTTGTATCGTGTGAAAGACTTAATATGTCTCGAATGACATAAGTATTGTAGAATATTATTATCAAGTGATAATAAGAAACATACACAAATGGATGATGATTGTAACAGATAATTGTAGACAATAACTCACGAATGTTGGTCCTTATTTTTCTAGCACCAACTGAAGTAGCGGACACCTGGACATTGTTTACACGTGCGTTTGGCCCGACCCCATCTCCTACAGGTAAGGCTCTATCATCTACTCATTTATCTCTGTGCGCAGGTATCTTTTTCCAAATGCTTTCATTACCTCCCATTCTATGTGTTCTATTGCGTAAGTATGTGTATCGTGTATACGTGACATGACGATAGGGCTAGTATCACTCGTTCATAGAGTTATTGTTAAATGTTTTCTTTACAGAAATAATATGTATAATATAGAAATCACCCTTTGTCCGTCGTACATTGTCTGTTCGTAAACCGTGGACATTTTACAAAAAAAAACCCAAAAAATGTCGAACCAATTTTAAAATTTTAAAGAAATTTTGCAGAAACCTTTCATAAAAAGATGTTAGCAAAATTGTGAAATGTGTGTTCCCAGGTGCCTGGGGGTCGGGGCCAAAAGTAGGTCAATTGACTAAAAATTTTAAAAAAATCCTTTCTAGACCCAGAATGAAATAAACAAATATGAAAAAGAAAAGCAGCTACAACATTACGGCTTGATAAAATGTCACGAGCAACATGCCTAAATGTGAAATGCCATTCAAGTAACTTCGAATAGTGGACCATCCGTCTTCAAATTTTTGAGATTTGTGACAAATGAATGCTTCATTTGGCCATTATGAAACAGACTACCTTTAATGTACACAAAATTAAAACAACGGCAGCTGTCAAACCGATCTGTTATATGTATATGCCCTCCCTGCACAGCTACTATGTCTCTCATTCTGCATGGCATGGAGTTTATAAGGACATCGGCTGTCCTTGGAGGACGTTATTCCATTCCTCGGTAAGTATGTTGGCCAATGGACGGAGGTTATTTGGGATGTTTGCTAGATTCCTAACTTTTCTGTCTAATCCATCCCTTAAGTGTTCGATTGAGAACAAATATGGGCTGTATGAAGGCCAATCAAAAGGGACGATGATCTGGGTGGAAAAAAAAGTCCCTATAAACTCTTACAACGCGTGGTCCAACGTTATCATACTAAAAGGTCAAACGATGCCTTGTAATGAAAGACACATGAGGCCTCAGGATCTCAAATATGTCGTGCTCAAAAACACAAGTGTCTGCAAGACGCTCTCCTCGACGGCGGTGCACCCGTTGACAGCCATCCGATCGAAGTAACGTGAATCGAGATTCTTCCGTGAAGAGCATGGACCTCCAACTTATCATAGGGAAACGTCTGGGCACATGTGCCGTCACACATCGCATACGACGTGCTCGACGTTGAGTTGTCAGTGACAAACCAACGCACTGGCGACGTGGGCGTAAAACTTCCTATCGCAGTCTAATGCCCAGTTTTTGGGGTTGAATTCGACGATCTTCATTTCCAATGGTATTACAGGCCGTTGTGGCTGCCTTTAATCTCCAGTCATGCAAGATCTTGATCTTGACGTCGCAACGTTACACGTGGACATCCGGGTCTTGGTCTGTCCTCGACTCTTCTTGTGGCGTTGAGGCGTAAAACTTACCAATTTATAGTCGATTTGTGAACTTTTAAGTGTGTAATGACCATTTATTGAGTGCTACCTCCCATGAGGATTGCGAGAGTCCATCCTCTATCCAGTTGAAATAGCCGTCGCATATTTGTAAAAATAATTGATTGCAAATGTATTGACAATCACACGTTTTGGTGATAATCAGAAATCAACACTAGTTTGAATAGGAAGGACTCGTGCATGTGTACAGTTATGGGAATTTAGGCACATCGGATATGTTTACAATATTAACATTTATTGGGGGATTAGGTAATGTGTTCTAATATTCTTCCTTCTTTTTATATGGGTATATGTCAATATTTTACAATTTAAGAAATTGCATTTCTTTATCCGTTCAGTATAGTTTCATGAATGAAAACGTTTTCATATTGATCCTGGCTGACCAGCAGGACCTGATTGGCTTGACCAAATCGACTCAATTTTCAAAATCGTAAGACCCAAATACGGAAGAATAAAAAAAACTGCATGGATGAAAGGGTCGTAAGGTGCTCTATAATATTGTCTCTTTCATTACCCTAAGACCTCACGTTACCCCCTGAGGAGCGGTTAGGTTAAGTCTTAAGCATAATTTGTTTTATTATTCAAACTTAGTTAGAATTATTGATATTTACGATGGAAGTTGATAGAACAATTTTGGATGACCTATAAAGAATCCACATTTACAATTTGAATTAAATGAACAATACCGATGTCACACTTTACTGATAAAGTGACTTGGTCGTCAATTGAGACGTATCTGTACTATTTCAGTTCAGTTTGCTGAAGTGAATTACACCGATATCCTTTCTATCGGACGACAAGAACTCTCCGATCTAAATGAGTAAGTCAATTTTCTTTGTGTTTTCATAGCAACTCATTAGTCAAATAGGTGTTTACATAGTGAATAATATGTTACAGTGTAGTGTTATTGACGTGTTAAAATGTATTGTTTGTGACGTGTTATATGTGTATTACTTGTGACGTAATATAGTATATTGTTTGTGACGTGTTATATGTGTAGTTTGTGACGTGTTATATGTGTATTACTTGTGACGTAATATAGTATATTGTTTGTGACGTGTTGTGTATTTGTGACGTAATAAAGTATATTGTTTGTGACGTGTTATATGCGTATTGTTTGTGACGTGTTATATGCGTATTGTTTGTGACGTGTTATATTGTAGTATTAATGAATTATTTAACTGGCATTTTACCATGTACCATTTTGTATGAGTGAAGTTTTACATTGTGGCGTTAATGACGTGTTACAGTATGGTGTTAATGACGTGTTACAGTGTGGTGTTAATGACGTGTTACAGTATGGTGTTAATGACGTGTTACAGTGTAGTGTTAATGAAGTGTTACAGTGTGGTGTTAATGACGTGTTACAGTATGGTGTTAATGACGTGTAACAGTGTGGTGTTAATGAAGTGTTACAGTGTGGTGTTAATGACGTGTTACAGTGTGGTGTTAATGACGTGTTACAGTGTGGTGTTAATGACGTGTTACAGTGTGGTGTTAATGACGTGTTACAGTGTGGTGTTAATGACGTGTTACAGTGTGGTGTTAATGACGTGTTACAGTGTGGTGTTACTGAGGTGTTGCAGTGTGGTGTTAATGAAGTGTTACATTGTGGTGTTAATGATGTGTTACAGTGTGGTGTTAATGACGTGTTACAGTGTGGTGTTAATGACGTGTTACAGTGTGGTGTTAATGACGTGTTACAGTGTGGTGTTAATGACGTGTTACAGTGTGGTGTTAATGACGTGTTACAGTGTGGTGTTACTGAGGTGTTACAGTGTGGTGTTAATGAAGTGTTACAGTGTGGTGTTAATGAAGTGTTACAGTGTGGTGTCAATGCAGTGTTACAGTGTGGTGTTAATGACGTGTTACAGTGTGGTGTTAATGACGTGTTACAGTGTGGTGTTAATGACGTGTTACAGTGTGGTGTTACTGAGGTGTTACAGTGTGGTGTTAATGAAGTGTAACAGTGTGGTGTTACTGAGGTGTTACAGTGTGGTGTTAATAACGTGTTACAGTGTGGTGTTACTGAGGTGTTACAGTGTGGTGTTAATTACGTGTTACAGTGTGGTGTTAATGAAGTGTAACAGTGTGGTGTTAATGACGTGTTACAGTGTGGTGTTAATGAAGTGTTACAATGTGGTTTTAATGACGTGTAACAGTGTGGTGTTAATGACGTGTTACAGTGTGGTTTTAATGGCTTGTTACAATGTGTTGTTACTGACGTGTTACAGTGTAGTGTTAATGAAGTGTTATAGTCTGGTGTTGATCAAGTGTAACAGTGTGGTGTTAATGAAATGTACAGTGTGGTGATAATGAAGTGTTACAGTGTGGTGTTAATGAAGTGTAACAGTGTGGTGTAAATGAAGTGTTACAGTGTGGTGTCAATGCAGTGTTACAGTGTGGTGTTAATGAAGTGTTACAGTGTGGTGTTAATGAAGTGTTACAGTGTGGTGTTAATGAAGTGTAACAGTGTGGTGTTAATGAAGTGTAACAGTGTGGTGTTAATGAAGTGTAACAGTGTGGTGTTAATAAAGTGTTACAGTGTGGTGTTAATGACGTGTAACAGTGTGGTGTTAATGACGTGTAACAGTGTGGTGTTAATGACGTGTAACAGTGTGGTGTTCATGGCTTGTAACAGTGTGGTGTCAATGAAGTGTTACAGTGTGGTGTTAATGACGTGTTACAGTGTGGTGTTAATGACGTGTTACAGTGTGGTGTTAATGACGTGTTACAGTGTAGTGTTAATAAAGTGTTACATTGTGGTGTTAATGAAGTGTTACAGTGTGGTGGTAATGAAGTGTAACAGTGTGGTGTTAATGACGTGTAACAGTGTGGTGTTCATGGCTTGTAACAGTGTGGTGTCAATGAAGTGTTACAGTGTGTTGTTAATGACGTGTAACAGTGTGGTGTTAATGACGTGTAACAGTGTGGTGTTCATGGCTTGTAGCAGTGTGGTGTTAATGAAGTGTAACAGTGTGGTGTTGATGACGTGTAACAGTGTGGTGTTAATGAAGTGTAACAGTGTGGTGTTAGTGAAGTGTAACAGTGTGGTGTTAATGAAGTGTAACAGTGTGGTGTTAATGACGTGTTACAGTGTGGTGTTAATGACGTGTTACAGTGTGGTGGTAATGACGTGTTACAGTGTGGTGTTAATGAAGTGTAACAGTGTGGTGTTAATGACGTGTTACAGTGTGATGTTAATGACGTGTTACAGTGTGGTGTTAATGACGTGTTACAGTGTAGTGTTAATAAAGTGTTACATTGTGGTGTTAATGAAGTGTTACAGTGTGGTGGTAATGAAGTGTAACAGTGTGGTGTTAATGAAGTGTAACAGTGTGGTGTTAATGACGTGTTACAGTGTGGTGTTAATGACGTGTTACAGTGTAGTGTTAATAAAGTGTTACATTGTGGTGTTAATGAAGTGTAACAGTGTGGTGTTCATGGCTTGTAGCAGTGTGGTGTTAATGAAGTGTAACAGTGTGGTAACATTGTGGTGTTAATGAAGTGTTACAGTGTGGTGGTAATGGCGTGTTACAGTGTGGTGTTAATGGAGTGTAACAGTGTGGTGTTAATGACGTGTAACAGTGTGGTGTTAATGACGTGTAACAGTGTGGTGTTCATGGCTTGTAGCAGTGTGGTGTTAATGAAGTGTAACAGTGTGGTAACAGTGTGGTGTTAATGAAGTGTAACAGTGTGGTGTTAATGAAGTGTAACAGTGTGGTGTTAATGAAGTGTAACAGTGTGGTGTTAATGAAGTGTAACAGTGTGGTGTTAATGAAGTGTAACAGTGTGGTGTTAATGAAGTGTAACAGTGTGGTGTTCATGGCTTGTAGCAGTGTGGTGTTAATGAAGTGTAACAGTGTGGTAACAGTGTGGTGTTAATGAAGTGTAACAGTGTGGTGTTAATGAAGTGTAACAGTGTGGTGTTGATGACGTGTAACAGTGTGGTGTTCATGGCTTGTAACAGTGTGGTGTTAATGAAGTGTAACAGTGTGGTGTTAATGAAGTGTAACAGTGTGGTGTTAATGAAGTGTAACAGTGTGGTGTTAATGAAGTGTAAGTGTGGTGTTAATGAAGTGTAACAGTGTGGTGTTAATGAAGTGTAACAGTGTGGTGTTAATGAAGTGTAACAGTGTGGTATTAATGAAGTGTAACAGTGTGGTGTTAATAAAGTGTAACAGTGTGGTGTTAATGAAGTGTAACATTATCGAATATTATATACATAAATATGTTTATAAACTGAGTTGTTACAGTGGCGATATGTGGCTATGTTATATGTGTTTGAATCCTTTGTATGTTTGTTTTGCTTAATTTACATATCCACCTAGATTTTTTATTAGTTCATTGTTGATCTACTATTTTTATGTTTTGTTGTTTCCTTTTTTGAATTTATTTTTCAGTTTGAAAACCGTCGTGACTTCATCTGGCTCTGTCTGTCTTAACGGAATCTGTGACATTTTCGGTGTCATCATGTTGATTGATATATTTATCAAATTATTCATCAATGAATGCACTTCCTTCACTTTGTTGTCATTTTAAAGTTTCATTATATATGTTGAAGGATGTAAGGATGTATTTAAGACATACTCTAATTCGAACGTGTCCCTGTTGTATTAGTCACACAAAAGTACAACAGTAAATATGTAGAATGATAGCATTGCTACCATATATGCTTACAGAGGCAGATGGTTTGGTGACACATCCTATTCAATTAAATTAAAATAATTTTCCTTTTCTTGGTGTCTTTTTCTTTCTGTCTGTGATAGGCATGGTTTTGTTTGTCCTTTAAATTACTTGCATTGCATCAGTTACATACGCGAGGCATTAAGTACCCGGACTCACAGTCTGTGTGGTCTCTGGATTAGTACCCTGTACACTCTAGAGCGTAAACGTCAATGAACTGGCACACAACACGTCAATTCTCCCGAGACCTGACAGTGTAGTAGTGGTTGCATGTTTCAGTGTTATATGTCGTGACATGTTTCAGTATTGTATCTCGTGACATGTTTCAGTGTTATATGTCGTGACATGTTTCAGTGTTATATGTCGTGACATGTTTCAGTGTTATATGTCGTGACATGTTTCAGTGTTATATGTCGTGACACGTCTCATTGTTATATGTCGTGACATGTTTCAGTGTTGTATGTCGTGACATGTTTCAGTGTTGTATGTCGTGATATGTTTCAGTGTTATATGTCGTGACATGTTTCAGTGTTGTATGTCGTGACATGTATCAGTGTTGTATGTCGTGACATGTTTCAGTGTTATATGTCGTGACATGTTTCAGTGTTATATGTCGTGACACGTCTCATTGTTATATGTCGTGACATGTTTCAGTGTTGTATGTCGTGACATGTTTCAGTGTTGTATGTCGTGATATGTTTCAGTGTTATATGTCGTGACATGTTTCAGTGTTATATCTCGTGACATGTTTCAGTGTTATATGTCGTGACATGTTTCAGTGTTATATGTCGTGACATGTTTCAGTGTTATATGTCGTGACATGTTTCAGTGTTATATGTCGTGACATGTTTCAGTGTTGTATGTCGTGACATGTTTCAGTGTTATATGTCGTAACACGTCTCATTGTTATATGTCGTGACATGTTTCAGTGTTGTATGTCGTGACATGTTTCAGTGTTATATGTCGTGATATGTTTCAGTGTTATATGTCGTGACATGTTTCAGTGTTATATGTCGTGACACGTCTCATTGTTATATGTCGTGACATGTTTCAGTGTTGTATGTCGTGACATGTTTCAGTGTTATATGTCGTGACATGTTTCAGTATTGTATGTCGTGACATGTTTCAGTGTTA